GGGACACTAATCAGAACCTGTGGGACACTTATCAGCACCTGTGGGACACTAATCACACCCTGTGGGACACTAATCGGCACCTGTGGGGCACTAATCACACTCATCAGCACCTGTGATGCATTACACAGCACCTGTGGGACACTAATCACAACCTGTGGGACACTAATCAGCACCTTTGGGGCACTAATCACACTAATCAGCACCTGTGGTGCATTACACAGCACCTGTGGTGCATTACACAGCACCTGTGGGACACTAATCAGAACCTGTGGGGCACTAATCAACAATGTGGTGCACTAATCAGAACCTTGGGGACACTAATCAGCACCAGTGGTGCACTAATAAGCACCTGTGGGACACTAATTAAATGTGCACTAGTGAGCACCTGTGGTGCACTAATAAGCAAATGTGGTGGACATATGAGCACCTGTTGTGCACATATCAACACATGTGGGACACTCATTAGCACCTGTGGGAAACTAATTAGCACCTGTGGTGCACTGAGGAAATACAATACAAACAACAGGTAACTGCATACACTTGTTTATTACCAAATCGGAAACAGGGTATGGCCTATGATAGAATTACCTGAGTGCCACCACAGAAGTGCAACCCTCACCTGTCATTTAAACATGGGTAGATATGAATGAGAGTGTTCATTATGAAAAGATTCAGGGAGTAACAACAGATAGTCCCTGACTAAGACTTTGTCCAGCCAATAGACAAACACTTGCTTGATAACAGTGTTATTATCTATACTGAAATGTCCCTACAATTGTGACAAAGATGTTCATCTTCAAACAGTGTCAGCTCCAAGAATAATTCATTGACTACTGAAGACAATACTTGTGAACATCACTTTGTCAGTCACCAATCATCCAGCTCCAACAGTGGGCTGTAAATGATCAAGTCGGGATCCCATGATGACACAGCCTGACCACCCAATCCCCATGTTAGTGGGCAGCAGTGAGGTACCAGTGGGCAGCGGTGAGGTACCAGTGGGCAGCGGTGAGGTACCAGTGGGCAGCGGTGAGGCACCAGTGGGCAGCGGTGAGGTACCAGTTTGCCCCACAGGGGGTAACATAATGAATACACACTGGGTGAGCTGTACACAATGTTCATTGTTCTGAAATTGGTATGAACTGTGGCAATTTTGACATATACATGTATAAAACAACACCATCGTCCTTATAAGGGCATGTTCCCAAAGCAAGGGAGTTAACTGACCATAAAAGACCAGAATAGTTAATTAACTCCCTTGCTTCAGGAACATGTATAAGGCTAAACAAAATGACAGTCTTGGTTCTCAGGCACCGCCTGCTTCATCATAGTCTGCCGCACATTTCATTTTTATTTCCATTTTTAAAACAAAATTAAAAATCCTAATACTCAAAAAGCAAAGCGATCTAATATAGCACACAGTTACTTCCCTTTACTGGCACACTGCTTTACTACACATCTCGTGTTATGGTCATGGTGGCAATAGGAGTTTGTGTGCTTGTTTATGTAGGGAGGCCCTTCCCCAGGTTGATGGTACACAACTGTTTTGGTTACATACCAGTTTGAACAAGCAAAGAAAAAAAAACACCACCCGCCCGCACTATATTTTCAAAAGTCACTGCCTGAGAATCAATTCTTATATTTTTTTTAAGCCTAAGGGACCCTATTTCCTAACTTACACAATGACAACAGAGTTTTGTCTTAGGGCTGGGACAAGTCCAAATTTTCTACTTGGGTACCCAACCCCCTATTACCCGACCCTACCCGGGTACCCACTGTAGGTCTCAAGAGATAGGTACAAAATGTCTGATTGGGAGTTACTTTTACCATAGTAATGACAAAATGTATTTTGATACATGTATTAAACAATCTGGTCATGCATACACTGAAGTTGACTTAAGTTTTATCTTTATTCAACCATATAAAAAGTCACAAAGAATGGGCGCATACTCGAAAAGAAATGAAAACAATAGTGACTTGTAGTGTAACCATAGAGTTCTAGGTAATTATTGTCATTAAACAATATATCATGTGACTAACCACGGGTCCGGGTAGTCCTGTGGGTACCCCAGTCCTATTCAGTATCCACCCGACCCGGGTACCCGAGTTACCCGTCCCAGCCTTATTTTGTATTTCAACTTCTATATTCTTTCACATGCTTGATAAAGGTACTGACATCTGTACCAGAACATCAACAATCAAGTCTTCATCAATACTACATCTTCTATAATCCCACTTAAGGATATGATAACATGACGAGGATGGAATACAGTAGGCACAATACATGTATAATATAGCTGCCTTTATTGAAACATTATAACATATTATTTAATATAAGGCATCAAAAGGAACTTCAATACATGGTAACATATTAAAGGCACAGAACTTTATGAAATTGATAAATGGTTCATAAAACACTTGTAGTCTTTCTTGACAGTCCACTTAATTTTCCCTTCATAAATATTTCAGTTTTGTTACTTTTTATGGACAAGATGTGGAATGAAGGCCCACACTGATGCAGGTCTTTGAAATGCCCCCATAAGTCAAATCTCATTAAAATCAGATCTAAGTTCTTGCTGCCGCTAAACAAAGATCTGAGGACATCCCATTACGGGATACAACAACGACCTATTGCATACTTTGACCGACCACTGAAATGACTAACAATAAATCGACATCAGCCAATTAGAAAGCAGCTTTCTTGAGCTTTACGGCACTCGTTTCAACCTGGCGACTTCCATTTCAGACCATGCTTGAAAAATATGTTGACACAGTTCTCGATTAAAAGTTTGAAAACTGAACAAACGAACATTCCTGAATGTCTGATATATGGTTGCAATGGTATGGCAGTGCTTCCCATGTACTGTGCAACGCCTCTTAAGTTCAAATGTTTATCCCACGGAAGCGAGAGATAGACGATAATTTTGACGGAATCAGTGGTACGGGCCGTAACTGTCGTTTGGAATACCCCGTGTTAACGTTTTCAAGGTTGCATGATTACAAAACGCATTCCAACTGTCACTTTCATGATCTGGTAAGCCACGATTTTATTGGTCGGATGAAAGGTCGTTCTGACCTGACGTGGGATGTCCTCAGATCTTTGTTTAGCGATAGCGCGAACTAAGATCTGATTTTAATGAGATTGCCATAAGTCAATATGAGGACACAGCAGATACAACAACAAAACATAACTGCTATGGACATTTTATGAATATTATTTATTAGATTTTCTGACAGGGCCAGTTCATGCAGTTATCATAGCGACTGATTTACGACACCCATTGTCTGAAGAACATTTAATTGCAAAGGCTCATTACCCTGGAGCCATGACATCTATATGCAGACACAAAAGAAAGGTCTTACCTCTCCCCTAACCCTAGCTAGGCTAAGGGTAAGACCTTTCTTTTTCTCAATCTCTCTGGACCAAGGCTTATATAGCCAAGGTCACCTGACATTAGAAAGTAATAAATATAAATGTAAACAGTAATTCATCAGCAGGATGGCAGACGGTCGATGTACACAAAAATGGGGATTAACAATTAGGATTAGCATCTTATAAATAACAGCAATTAAGTGTTTCAAGGCATATAGATGTCATGGCTCCAGAGTAATGAGCCTTTGCAATTAAATGTTCTTCAGACAATGGGTGTCGTAAATCTGTGTAAATCCATTATGATATTCATATGCTATTCATATTCAACAATGTAAAGTTTTGATGAATATGTTATCCTTGTTGAATAAAAAATGAGAAAATGACTTGTTTTGTTATATACGGTAACCTGTTAGAATCACAAAGCCTGTTTTGACAGCATAGCCGCGAGAGCCACATTATACACTCACGCAACCATAACCATTGCCGCGAGAGCCACATCAATTTGGGCTATCTATTTTCGAAATGTGGCTTTGCCGGCCTGTAACCCAATGAACAGTGACGATTTGTGCCTTGTCCGGTGGAAGTGGCTCACAGTGGAACATTGAAACTCTGACTGACTGAAGCGACCTACAAATGTCTAAGTAACCTCAATACTGACAGTTGTAGGTCATGTTACTTCCGTATTTCTTCAAATTATCTTGAGCTCGCCCAGGACATATCTGTGTTTGTCAGTTTTGTCAAGTTTGACCTGCATTTGGTCAGTTGAATCTATTTGGGTCGCCAGTTTGTTTTATCTAGTTGGGTCGCCAGTTTGTCTGTTGTGTGCAGTTGCGTAGTAATGTGATACTTCGACACGATGCCATAAATACCTGAACATTAGGATCATGATACTGTACATGAAATAAAAATGAATTTTATAATTTATTGCATCATTGCGATCGACTAGATACAGTCCAACTCTGTTGTCTCATATTGTGGGAACCAGGGCAACAGTTCAACTTACCTGAGGTTTGACACATATATACGACTTGACTATTAAATACTGTAGTGAGAACAACAGATAAACAAAGTTAATCCTGATTCGTCTCACATGTGTTGGAGATTTTAATTACATTGCAATCACATGACAATACATCATGCACTTCGTCAGAACATCACCTGACCACAAATTGTTGATTGCGGGTATTGACTGTCTCAGGTGTTTACAAAGTCATCACCGATTCCCTGATAATAAGTGATGCTATTGTAGCGGCCATAAAATTTATGAGTCCTGTGATGGGATTCGAACCAAGGACCTTCTGATCAGAAGTAGGATGCCTTGTCCACACGACCAAAGAGGTTAACCCTGTCACCAAGCTGACAAGGTAAGGATGTCATCTGTGGGATGCTCCAGGCCCTCCTATTAATTAGTTACAAACCTAATTTTAATTGAGTAGAAAAGCAGTCACTTACTCAGGCCAATCAATTGTTTGCTGTCTTTGATGTTTCACACTGTTTCGTTTCCGGCCATTATACATCTAACTTGTGCTTATTTTGTTTTTCAATAAGTCAAGCTTGACTTATCAGCGTAAGTTTTAACTTATCTTAACTCCAAACTGGGTAAAAAAAGTAATTAATACTGTACAAGTTCAACGGGACATATTTTTAATTTGACATAACTGCTGATTCGATACATCTGAATTTGAGACAACAGGATTTGATTGTTTACGACTAGAATGAGTGAGTGAGTGAGTATGGTTTTACCCCGCTTTTAGCAATATTCCAGCAATATCACGGCGGGGGACACCAGAAATGGGCTTCACACATTGTACCCATGTCGGGAATGGAACCCGGGTCTTTGGCGTGACGAGCGAACACTTTAACCACTGGGCTACCCGACCGCCCCCTACTAGAATGACTTAGAGTGACATAGCTTGAAAAACGATGTACATACTGTCAGAAAATATAGAATTAACATACATGTACATGAAATATAAGTAATATAATTATGGATACATGATCTGGAGATACAATTTGTGAATCATGTTACATTTCACACATCTTCTCGAGGTGTGTCCGCTAGCCTATATCAATGTCTAGTTTCTACCCTTGCCACAGCGAAGCCACTTTTCTTGGCTCGACCCTGGCGCCACCTCACATAGATCATGAGTTGTGCCCCTTGTCATGTAAACATAATATCCAGTCAGATCGCTGCTGTTCTCATCTTGTATAGCTTCACAAAGATGGCGACTACCATAGGCGACGACCTAGTCAATCAGATAATGAAAACAATCTTGATTTCATCCCTGATACAAAAACACAGGCAATCGTTAGGGGTTTAAAACATGAAAAAACATATTCGTGTCAACAAAGACAGGCAGCAGTATATCACTTTCATACGAGGGTGTACCAGTCGTGGATGTTGATTTTGTGAAACGTTCTCCGATTGGACTATCTATATGTGCCATAGTCCAATCATATTTATCACAGGAAAGAAAGCTTGATGTAGCAAGGGTGGAAACAAGACTTTGATAAAAAGGCTAGTGGACGCTCTTGCCTCGGTAAGATGCATTTCACGATGTAATTGAACCTTAAGTGACTCATATACAGAGACGGATAATGGATTTGTTTGTGGGAGTGTTATAGGGGCCCCATATTTGTGTAGAAATCGTACTCACACATACATCTGTACATTGTATGTCAACATTTTCTTTATTTCATGTTTTTTTTGGTGTGCATGTCATTAGGGTCCAAATACTGAAACGACCATGACTCTTTGATCCGCCACAGAGCTGGAATGGGTCTAATTGGCTGATGTCTTGCGGTCTCTGTCCTGGAAGGAGATCAGGGCAACAGCGTTGTCGGACAGGACAGCTGTATATCTGGGAGAAAGGATGTGATCAGTTAGTACTACTGAACTTTTTAACACATATGTCACAAAGACTGTCAGAAATTATTGCATCAGTATGTTGACAAAAATAAAATGGATTTGTAACTTACGCTTGTCCTGTCCTGATCAACATGGTGTCATTCTCCTCCAGAGTGTAGTCCTTGCCCCCTACCTGCACACTGCAGCCTCCCTCCTGTGCCAGGGGAGACAACCACATTTATATACTGTTTTATTTGTTCTTGCTTACTAAAAATAGTCCTGTGTGCAGATATAAGTAGTCTGGTAGAAAGTTCAAACTTTATAATTTCAACCTGGAAATATTTCAGTTCATGCAAGAAATATTTTAAGGTTTACTTCATTTATTGAATTGAATGTAAGAGGAATCTGAAGCAACACTGAACACTTCCAAGTTTCGTTCTTGTTGATAATTTAGTCATGGCTGCACAGTTGAAATGTTATCAGGTGTGTGACCCTATTATGACCAAAGTTTGAAGAGAAATAACAAATACTGTGATTTGAATTTTCCTTAGTTTAAGATGTAAAACTTTAAAACTTTTAACACGTTCTTTGACATCATGAAAGTTCGAAATAAGATCCCTCCCTGAACATAGACTTCTATACTCACAAGCTGCCAGATAAACACCTCAGCATTGTTGACTTTACCAGAGTGCTCTCCCTTGCCCAAAATACGTACCTGAAGAATAAAATGATTTAGAACAATAACAAGTTGTGTGATGATATGATGATACAGAATTGTATCATGATACAAAAAGACTGTTTGCTGGTGCTACAGATATGACTGGGTTAGTGTGGGGTGAATATAGCTCTTGCACACTGCTCACAGGGTGGGAGTGAGGTGAGGTGAAATTGGGTTTAATGTCGCGTCCAAGATTATTGCACTTATATAGCGACATCCATGTACGTGTGTGTGTTTGTGTGGCTGCTTGTACTAGTCCGGACTGATGCCGATTTATAGTGCTAGCTCACTGAGATACCATGCCGCAGTTTAACATGAATACCCCACTCAGACACAGTATACTGACTCCGAGCCGACCAGTCCTTGTTTTAGCCCCTTAATGCTGAGCGCCAGACAGGGTAACAACAAGTACCATATTTTAACTTCTTTTGGTATACAGGGTGAGAGTGAGTGGGTGGGTTTGCTTAACACATTCAACAGTATGACACTGTGTCAGCTTGCATGATTCGGGCAAACCTGGATTCGAACCCACGTTCTTAGGTTTCTGGCGTGCCCAAGGAACGTGCCCAAACTGATACTGGGCCCCCAACAGCTGCATGCTCACATGACAGTTGTATGCTCACATCAAACTGATAATGGTCCTCAAACAGCTGTATACTCACATCAAACTCATACTGGTCCCCAAACAGCTGTATACTCACATCAAACTGATACAGGTCCTCGAACAGCTGTATACTCACATCAAACTGATACTGGTCCCCAAACAACTGTATACTCACATCAAACTGATACTGGTCCTCGAACAGCTGTATACTAGCAGTCAAACTGATACTGGTCCTCGAACAGCTGTACACTCACATCAAACTTATACTGGTCCTCAAACAGCTGTATACTCACATCAAACTGATACTGGTTCCCCAAAAGCTGTACACTCACATCAAACTTATACTGGTCCTCGAACAGCTGTATACTCACATCAAACTGGTACTGGTCCCCCAACAACTGTATACTCACATCAAACTGGAACTGGTCCCCATACAGCTGTATACTCACTTCACGGCTGTATACTCACTTCAAACTCATACTGGTCCCCCAACAGCTGTATACTCACATCAAACTGGTACTGGTCCCCCAACAGCTGTATACTCACTTCACGGCTGTATACTCACATCAAACTGGTACTGGTCCCCGAACAGCTGTATACTCACATCAAACTGATACTGGTCCCCCAACAGCTGTATACTCACATCAAACTGGTACTGGTCCCCCAACAACTGTATACTCACTTCAAGGCTGTATACTCACATCAAACTGATACTGGTCCCCCAACAGCTGTACACTCACATCAAACTGGTACTGGTCCCCCAACAACTGTATACTCACATCAAACTGATACTGGTCCCCCAACAGCTGTACACTCACATCAAACTGGTACTGGTCCCCCAACAACTGTATACTCACATCACAGCTGTACACTCCCATCAAACTAACACTGGTCTTCCAACAGCTGTATACTCACATCAAACTGGAACTGGTCCCCCAACAGCTGTATACTCACATCATGGCTGTACACTCACATCAAACTGATACTGGTCCCCCAACAACTGTATACTCACATCACTGCTGTACACTCACATCAAACTGATACTGGTCCCCCAACAGCTGTACACTCACATCAAACTGGTACTGGTCCCCCAACAACTGTATACTCACATCAAACTGATACTGGTCCCCCAACAGCTGTACACTCACATCAAACTGGTACTGGTCCCCCAACAACTGTATACTCACATCACAGCTGTACACTCACATCAAACTGATACTGGTCCCCCAACAACTGTATACTCACATCACAGCTGTACACTCACATCAAACTGGTACTGGTCCCCCAACAACTGTATACTCACATCACAGCTGTATACTCACATCAAACTAACACTGGTCTTCCAACAGCTGTATACTCACATCAAACTGGAACTGGTCCCCCAACAGCTGTATACTCACATCATGGCTGTATACTCACTTAAAACTGATACTGGTCCCCCAACAGCTGTATACTCACATCACAGCTGTACACTCACATCACAGCTGTACACTCACATCACAGCTGTACACTCACATCACAGCTGTACACTCACATCACAGCTGTATACTCACATCAAACTGATACTGGTCTTCCAACAGCTGTATACTCATATCAAACAGGTACTGATCCCCAAACAGCTGTACACTCACATCAAACTGGTACTGATCCCCAAACAGCTGTATACTCACATCAACTGGTACTGGTCCCCAAACAGCTGTATACTCACATCACAGCTGTATACTCATATCAAATTGGTACTGGTCCCCCAACAGCTGTACACTCACATCAAACTGGTACTGGTCCCCCAACAACTGTATACTCACATCACAGCTGTACACTCACATCAAACTGATACTGGTCCCCCAACAACTGTATACTCACATCACAGCTGTACACTCACATCAAACTGGTACTGGTCCCCCAACAACTGTATACTCACATCACAGCTGTACACTCACATCAAACTAACACTGGTCTTCCAACAGCTGTATACTCACATCAAACTGGAACTGGTCCCCCAACAGCTGTATACTCACATCATGGCTGTATACTCACTTAAAACTGATACTGGTCCCCCAACAGCTGTATACTCACATCACAGCTGTACACTCACATCACAGCTGTACACTCACATCACAGCTGTATACTCACATCACAGCTGTACACTCACATCACAGCTGTATACTCACATCAAACTGATACTGGTCTTCCAACAGCTGTATACTCATATCAAACAGGTACTGATCCCCAAACAGCTGTACACTCACATCAAACTGGTACTGATCCCCAAACAGCTGTATACTCACATCAACTGGTACTGGTCCCCAAACAGCTGTATACTCACATCACAGCTGTATACTCATATCAAATTGGTACTGATCCCCAAACAGCTGTATACACACATCAAACTGGTACTGGTCCCAAAACAGCTGTATACTCACATCAAACTGGTACTGGTCCCCAAACAGTGGTACACTCACATCAAACTGGTACTGATCCCCAAACAGCTGTACACTCACATCAAACTGGTACTGGTCCCCAAACAGCTGCACTTGTCCCTTGCTGTGCAGTTCTTCTCTATGGGCGTACAACCAGTCCCAGAGGTTGAAGGGTGCTTGCAGGGAAATAGTGGAGTCAAGGACTATTGGGGGATTCTCTGGTATTGTCCCTGGAACACAGGGCTGACACCCATAAGTCATCAAAGAAATGCCATATATATTTTAAATTGCCAATACATTTCTCCGTCAGTGTAGGAGGCACATTTATTTTTGACAAAGATTTCACATCAATATGGCTGATATCTGCCCAGCCAGACAATATGATGAACTGATGTTCTAGAAAGGAAGTCACATGGTCTTCATCATACCCTAATTAATCCATGATATTGATGTTGATTATTAGCCCTGATATTTACTGCAGTGGCATACTGTCAAAGATGTGACAATTGTTAGGCGTGATAGCAGAATAAACCAGGCCTTTGCAGAATATTGTTTATCATATCACAGATAGTTATTGATGTGATAAAACAATCCAATAAATTTGTTATCACAATCTCATTAATATGCAAATAAGGTCACCTAGCTGAAAGTTGCTAATAAAATTAACATTACAAATACGTTTAGATAGCGGTTTCCCAATGTGTGGGTGTTTTTGTATAAACAAACAAATCATTTAGCACAATGTAATAAATATGATGATTTACTAACTCCAGCATTGTATTCATATGTTCATCTTCCCGAGTCAAGGGAGTTAACTGACTATTAAGTCGCCATTTGTGGCAAGTACAGGTTGCTGAAGACCTATTCTACCAAGGATCTTCACAAGTGACTTTCACATAGACAAGTCTTGTCTTGATTGAATCGTTACTGAACATGACATACCGGTACATACACTTTCAATATTCATGCACCCTACAAGAAAAACATGAAAACTACCATATATTTATAATCATATATGTTCAGCTTAACATCCCTGTATCAGACTCACACAGTCATTGCCTTGAGGCCGGCCAATCTGGTCCAACAGGCAAGGTAACAGATGGCATCACCAAAACAATTGTTTCATTTGTCAGTTATTACATTACATTGTACAGTTGAAATGACCAAGTTCCTTTGTCACGTGGTATACATCTCAATTAGGTAATTATGGTAATGGTTCTCAGAGAACCCTGCGTAGATGTTTTTGTAGAACATGTAAACGGTTTCCGAGTTATGGTCTTGCTTAGGAAACATTCCTAAAAACTCCCAAACCATCAAAAGGCACCAGTTTACCACTAGACCTATTTATATGCCAAGTTTGTGAGAAATATTGTATGGTTTTCAAGATCTGTGCCAAGTTTGGTGATTTTCAAAGTCGGAAACTCAAAAAATAAAAAAAATAAAAATTCCAAACTAAAACAAAAGGCACAAGTTCACCACTAGACCTATCTATGTGCCAAGTTTGGTGAAGAAATATCGTACGGTTTTCAAGATCTGCTCCGGAAACGAGGACTACTGCCTTTTTCAGTCTAAGTCAAAGTCGTTGCCATAGAAACTCAATTTTTTTTTTTTTTAAATATCCCAAACTATCAAAAAGGCACAAGTTAACCACTAGACCTATCTATGTGCCAAGTTTGGTAAAGATATCTCTCATGGTTTTTGCGTTCTGCTCTGGAAACGAAATGTGACGGACAGAAAGAAGGACGGATGGCACCCATTCCTATATGCCCCTTCCACTTCGTGGCGGGGGATAATAATTTACTGTCCATTTTTATGGTAACCCTCCCTCAAATTCAATTCCATTTTGCATGACCCTCCCCCAAACACCCTCATGTACATAATGCCCTACACCTGATTTCATCTGCAAGCCCCGTTATTATTGACTGGTCCCTGGTTTAGATACTTCCAACATATGTCACAGTTGTATTTCATGATGTGTCATTTGTGTAGTGGCTTTTGAACAGCGACTGTCATTTAAACAGCTGTTCCTGTCACTTTAAGCATGTATAATTGGAGCAAGAAATTTGAATGTTTACAGGTGGTGCGCAACAATGAATGATGCTCTCTCGGATAATTTGAACTGGCATTACCATCATATTGTTCATTTATTCTCTCAAATGCACTGTGATATTATTGTTACCGTATTCGACGTAATAAGCGCCCTGCTCTAATAAGCGCCCACGGCGATATTTGTTAATATATTGGCTAATGAACAATCCCAGCTAGCACCCCTTCCGAATGATCAATGTACACAAGACCTATTTTTTCGTGTATAATACGTGTGTTATATGCATCCTTGATTATGGGAAATTAAATTCTGGAAAAATATATCTGTCGTATATAAACATTTCAGGCTGTCAGCATAAACCAAGAAATTTACGATCTTTCAACTCTGTTCTTTTTCACCAAAATAATGTTCTAATAAGAGCCCCCTATTTCAAATTTTGAGAGCGCCCTGGGCGCTTATTATGTCGAATACGGTAACTCTTCTATAAATGTTCACATAACTGGACAGAATGAGTGAAATATCTGCAGCAATGTCAACGTTGTACACAAACTCTGTTGTGTGCTTCATGCCCTGGCCTTCCCCTCTAATCGCACTCTATTGTCTTTACTTGACCTATGTCCAGACAGTCATACCCCATGTGTCAGATACCAGTTGTCAGACAGCGGAGTAGAAATGGCTTGTCAAAACATGAGATTTACCTGTTGTGGAATTGGACCATTCCTCGTAGACTTACCCTCTTTTTAATTAAGATCAAATAAATAAAGACATTGAAGTTAATTGGTAAAATAATGGGTCTATCAGATACAAACTAGATTAACAGTGTATGTAAAAAAAAACAATAGGATCATGTATAGTTTTATTTTCTACCTGTATAGATTTAATCAATGAACCATTCTGACCATGAAAACTTAATTTGCAAACTCTCACCTCAGCTTCTTTACACATTTTATTCAATTGTGCAGATATTATCAGAGAAATGTTAATTGTAACAAACATGGCAGTTAGGTACACGCCAGGTGGTCTTTCAACATCCCCTCGACAGCAAGAACAAAACTATGAGATTATTATACTGGAGAAGCGTCATTAAGTCATGTACAGGACATTGTACGAGAGTTGGTGACTTGATGACACAACCATCCACCAACATTGTATCCCAAGACATCGACAACCAACTTGGCAGACTCAAAGACCAGTTGATGCAGGGTGTAGAGAGCCCAGTGAAGTTTTTGAACCCTGCTTTTGTTTTGTTTATTCGTTGTTTAACGCCGCACTCAGCAATATTCATGCTATATGACGGCGGTCTGTAAATAATCCAGTCTGGACCAGACAATCCAGTGATTGACACCATGAGCATCGATCCACGCAATTGGTATATGATGACAAGCATCAACCAAGTCAGCGCGGCTGACTACCCGAACCCGTTAGTCGCCTTTTACGACAAGCATAGTCGCCATTTACGGCAAGCATGGGTTGCTGAAGACCTATTCTACCCCGGATCTTCAAAGGTCTTTTGAACACTGTGAGCAGACTTATAATATTGGGATGACTCCAGTGAGTGAGTGAGTATGGTTTTACATCGCTTATAGCAATATTTCAGCAATATCACGGTGGGGAACACAAGAAATAGGCTTCACACATTGTACCCATGTCGGGGATTGAACCACTAGGCAACCCCACTGTCCTAATTGTAATATATTCTATGAACCCACCATTCTTGTCGTCGTAAGATAATGGGTTAACTGTGTCAACAACCATGACATCATACACATATACGATAGTGATGACGTAACACACATACTAAATCTGATGACATAGTAAACAGTCTATGAAACCACCACGGGTTATATTAAGACAAGTTCAGTACCTGTCCCTCTTCCAGAGATTGTATTGTATATATTTCACTTCAGTACAAACCAAACAAACAAATTCAAAATACTTTTGATTTTCAAAAATACCTTTTGTTTGCAACAACTTTTTCTTTTCTTTAACGAAAACAACATTCCTCACAATATTTGTATTTTGCTTCCTGTCCTACAAATTGACAAAGAAAGTCAGAAAACTATAAATATAAAGCCACAGCAAGGCTAGTCATTCTGAACATGCAAGGGACAATATCGAGCTAGGCAAAACATACAGTGATCCCTCGCTTCAACGCTACCTTCAGGGTCCAAATAATTGACGAGCGTTATAGATGATCAGCGGTTTAACGAAGGTCGAGTCGTAGGTGGTAGATGACCAACAAAACAGTTTACATGCTCTGCCTACCTAACACGATCTACGTTGCACGTTTCAGAAATATGACTTTTAGCGAGTCATGGTACGGCATTTATGATATGTGTATCCACACTCTTGCAACTAAAGTTCGTTTCAATACGTCAATAGCGGTAATCTGATCGTGGTTGCTGTAAATAACGGTCAGTTGTGCGATCTAGCGATCACTTCGCATACGATTTCGCCGAAATTATTGTAAACATTATTATAATTATTGAATGAAATTTTGAATATAATTAAAAAAATAAATTGCAAACATTGGTCCAGATAAACAATGAACAATTTTTTCATTACCAGATATTATAATAATAGGATCAAATTGCGTACTTCAGTTCGGATTTGTTGACTGGTATTTCCAGTGTTACGTGATCGCGGTGATCAGCTGATAATGTTTTCTGAGATGGGGGAAAACATCGCATCATTGGAAAACTTGAGTTTATTGAAAATGTTAGTAAATTTTGGGAGCCATGCTTTACCGCGCGCTATAACCGAGTTAGCGCTATATTGAAGGGCGCAATAACGATGGAACACTGTATCTCGACAGATGGACCTTCCCTTCGCTCATCACATCAGTGGACAGTAACTTATGGCTAATTGTGTGGACAGGCTTGGCACAGATGGTTGGAGAACGGCAGGGGGCATAGGGAAGAACTTAATGATGGTACAGACAGATAACAGAGATCATTTAACAACTGCAAACCCTTATTCCCCAAAGTAGAAAGAAACTGAAAACATTGAACTAAACATGCTTAAAGTTAGTCAAGCTTACCTGGAAGAGGTTTCCCTGTCTTATGCTGTTCTGAGGCAAAGTACCTGTAAATCACAAGGACCTTTAATCACTGCTTACATCTCACACATCAAGAAGGAGTCATGAAAACCTCACATTTGTAATATTTAAATACCTAGATTGGACCCTCTTTAATGGAGAATCTGTTGATCCCGGAAGTAGCATCTACTTCTTTGGGGCGAGTTAATCAACCGATTAAATAATTTCTCTGACTTAAACCATGTCATGGTGAATTCCTGGCTCAAAATCAACCGACAGAACAATAGTGTGACATAATAATAATGGTAAAATCCCTAAGCGATCATGGCGCTACCACTAGTAAGTCATGTCCTGACATTGATTTATGAAAAAAGTCGAGATACAACTGCATTTGGAAATAGTCTTGACTCCTATGTTCAAGGTGACATATGCGAATACCATCCACAAAGAAAAGAATCCTACTTTGCCCAATCGCTAGTGCATGTTAAACCATGAACCATGTTGGGTCCAAACTTGAACCAAGAGCCTAGTGACTCACGCCTTTATTACTGGGCCAAGTTGTGTGCCGAGATCTTCACAGTAGAACCACTCTTCATACAGGGACTGGAGGGTTGGCTTGTCCTCGTCTTCCACATAGTACCTGGAGTACAACACCAACATGTAGTTCTGCTGACTTTACCTGAATCTAGACAACATCTCAAATATCATGCATCATGGTCAGAAAAGTCACCTGTGATATATCATCCATCACAGTTAAGAAATATCACCTTTGATATATATATATATATATATATATATATATATATATATATATATATATATCAAGCTTCACACCCAGGATACATCACCTTTGACATATTAAGCTTCCCATCCAGGAAATATCCCCTCTGATATATGCATGAAAGCCAGGATATATCCCCTCTGATATATCATGCATAACAGCCAGGATATATATCTCCCGATATATCATGCATAACAGCCAGGATATATCTCTCTGATATATCATGCATAACAGCCAGGATATATCCCTTCTGATATATCATGCATAACAGCCAGGAAATATCACTTCTGACATATGCATGAAAGCCAGGATATATCCCTTCTGATATATCATGCATAACAGCCAGGATATATATCTCCTGATATATCATGCATAACAGCCAGGATATATCCCTCTGATATATCATGCATAACAGCCAGAATATATCCCGCTGATATATGCATGAAAGCCAGGATATATCCCCTCTGATATATCATGCATAACAGCCAGGATATATATCTCCCGATATATCATGCATAACAGCCAGGATATATCCCTTCTGATATATCATGCATAACAGCCAGGAAATATCCCTTCTGACATATGCATGAAAGCCAGGATATATCCCCTCTGATATATCATGCATAACAGCCAGGATATATCCCCTCTGATACAAAATGCATAACAGCCAGGATATATCCCCTCTGATATGTCATGCATAACAGCCAGGATATATCCCCTCTGATATATGCATGAAAGCCAGGATATATCCCCTCTGATATATCATGCATAACAGCCAGGATATATATCTCCCGATATATCATGCATAACAGCCAGGATATATCTCTCTGATATATCATGCATAACAGCCAGGATATATCCCTATGATATATCATGCATAACAGCCAGGAAATATCACTTCTGACATATGCATGAAAGCCAGGATATATCCCTTCTGATATATCATGCATAACAGCCAGGATATATATCTCCTGATATATCATGCATAACAGCCAGGATATATCCCTATGATATATCATGCATAACAGCCAGAATATATCCCCTCTGATATATGCATGAAAGCCAGGATATATCCCCTCTGATATATCATGCATAACAGCCAGGATATATATCTCCCGATATATCATGCATAACAGCCAGGATATATCTCACTGATATATCATGCATAACAGCCAGGATATATCCCTTCTGATATATCATGCATAACAGCCAGGAAATATCCCTTCTGACATATGCATGAAAGCCAGGATATATCCCCTCTGATATATCATGCATAACAGCCAGGATATATATCTCTCTGATATATCATGCATAACAGCCAGGATATATCCCTCTGATATATCATGCATAACAGCCAGGATATATCCCCTCTGATACAAAATGCATAACAGCCAGGATATATCCCCTTTGATATGTCATGCATAACAGCCAGGATATATCCCTCTAATATATCATGCATAACAGCCAGGATATATCACCTTTGATATATCATGCATAACAGCCAGGATATATCTCTTGATATATCATGCATAACAGCCAGGATATGTCACCTCTGGTATATAATGCATCACAGCTAGGAAATCACCTCTGACATGTCATGTTTCAGAGCTAGGAAATATCACCTGATATATCATGCATCACAGCCAGGATATATGTTCTTTACCCATGCTTATCATAAGAGGCGACAATGCTTTTCATAAGAGGCCACTAATGGGATCAGGTGGTCAGGCTCGCATGTCATCGTTTCCCAATTGTGTAGATTGATGCTCATGACATCAATCATTGGATTGTCTGGTCCAGACTGGATTATTTACAGACCACCTTCATATACGTAGCTGGAATATTGCTGAGTGCATTGTTAAACAATGAATAAACAAAACAAAAGCAGGGTTCAAAAACTTCATTGGGCTTTCTACAGCCTGCATCAACTGGTCTTTGAGTCTGCCAAGTTGGTTGTCGATGTCTTGGGAGTGCGGCGTTAAACAAAAAACAAACTGTTGGCAGCAATGGTACAGTAAACTACGTTTATAACGGACACACTTATAAGGAACTGACAGATAAAACAAACATATTTTTTTGTCCCGCACGTTTGCTGTTTATATGCTTATAATGAACTACAGTTATACTGAACTAAAATTAATGGCCCCTTTGAGTTTAGTTTACTGTATAGAGAGCTCAGATTGTACATAGTATATCGCTGTGAGGAACATGTCATGGTCCACTGATTGTTGGTTAGAATCACCAATTCCTACGACTAAAATCCAGGGTTTGTCATCAGAAACATATAACAGAAATATTGATCAAAGCATCATTCAAAGTTACTTATTAACCCTCTTTCAGTCAGTCTACAAAGACGCTAGTCTTTCTATTGTGCCCTCACCTGAGGCCATCCTTCTCATCCTGAAACCTCTCCCTCTCTATCACCAGACCGACCGTGTTCTCCTGGCGCTGGGGGGAGTGAGCGATTCTGCCGGGGAGGAGGAATATCTGTGGATATAGGGACACTCCATAAACCCTGGAAAACCTCATAGCAATTATGGGAGAAAATAATACAATAATGATAAAAGTCAAGAAATTCTGTTTCTGGCACACACGGAGCTAGACTAACATTTAGTCTTTGAAATCTTATATTACACAATATCCTTCTTGACTCTAAAAATAAAATAAAAATTCCCTATGCTGATTTATTGTGGAATAGAGCTAGCTTGAGCTGGCTAGACTTTCTTTTGTATGCATTTCTAGATTATTTTTTTTTCATAAAATAAATATATTCCACGGTCATGGTGCAGGACTAACACAGAGCGTTCAGACCCTCAAAGCGGGAATCATAATAAAAACATTTGCTACAGCAGCTCACAGCTGGAGCTCTGTACAACTGTAATCTTTACAATCACCCATTAGTTTATGTTAATGTTATATCTATTTACACTTCAACAGCCCTGTGAAGATCAAGTTACAGGCCCTCCTATCTATTTGAATAAAAGGAAGCATTATCAGAATTAATAAGTGCAATGTGGTGTGTAGAGATACCATGTGTAGAGATAACATGTGCGAAGAATTGATTTCAAATGTGAGTGAGTGAGTTGGGTTTAACGCCGCTTTTAACAGTATTCCAGTTATATTGCGGCGTGTCAGCTTAATGTGGGAGGAAAGCCCGAAGTGATGCAGGTCTCAGACGTTTACCACTTTGGTGAAACCCACGAGCACGGGTATGGTGCTGACAAACCTAGAAACATAATCGGGGCGAACCGGGATTCGAATCCACAATAATAGGTTTCTGGCGTGCCCAAGGGACGCAACTCTGCACAGCGAATCGCAGCGCCTTAGACGACTGGGCCACCCGTGCCCCCTCAAATGTGATGTAAATGTAGTAACTATCATCGTAACAACGATTCACACTGGAATCACCACACAGCCGCTATTGGGACAGAAATTATCAGCAACCGAACACATACAGTCATATCCGTAAAAAATTCTGGATTTCTCCAAACTACTCCGACACTAACTGTCATCACAGCGCGTGAAACAGTAGACATGGCTGACAGTAGCGGAGAAGAGAAACTGTCAGTGCTTGTCTCCAGAGAATGTAGTTCTAATTAAGAAGATAATGCACATTGAACATATTTCAAATTTTCCCCTTCGATTCAGATTATTTATCTTCAGTAAAAAAATATTTTGTATGCATTATCGATGTATTTTGAAGGGAGTCAAATGTAAAATTTAGATAACACATTCTGATGCATATGAATACTGCTTGATCAATGCCATGGAGTTAACACATTATTTTCAAGGCTTCCAGTCAGACTAACCAAAGAAATAACTTCGCTTGACGCTTAATTGTTTGTCGCCACCATTCCTTGCATGCTGTTTTTCCTGGATAACGTGTTGTCAATCGACTACGATGTCAGCTTTTAGCTGAAGTTATTTCGCTGTAATTGACCGAGTTTCTCAAAGCGGCTTTGCACATATTCTGTAACTGACCCCTGTCAAATCTGATAGTGTTTGTTTTCCTGGGCACAGTAATTGCATTCGATTCCAAAGCAGAAGGTATGCTACTAATACGCCTTGAATTTAAACTCATTTCTTTCCAAATACCGTATTCGACATAATAAGCGCCCCGCTCCAATAAGCGCCCACGGCGATATTTGCTAATATATTGGCTAGTGAACAATCCCAATTAGCACCCCTTCCGATTGATCAATGTTCACAAGACTTATTTGTTCGTGTATAATATGCACTTGTGTGTTATATGCATCCTTAATTATGGGCAATTAAATTCTGGAAGAATATATCTGTCGTGTATAAACATTTCAGGCTGTCAGCATAAACCATGAAATTTATCTTTCAACTCTGGTTTTTTTTCACCAAAATGATATTCTAAGAAGAGCCCCCTGTTTCTAATTTTGAGAGCGCACTAGGCGCTTATTACGTCGAATACGGTATATAGATAGGAGGGCCAGAGTAAGAACTGATCTTCAGCAACCCATGCCTGTCATAAGAGGAGACCAACAGGATCGGGCAGTAGCCTGGTTGATGCATGTCATCGTATCCCAACTGCATAGACTGATGCTCATGAAGTCACATCACTGGTTTGTTGGGTCCAGATTAGATTATTCACATATCGCCATCGTATAGTTGGAATATTGCTGAGTGTGCTTTAAACAACAAATATACTCTGTAAACTGATACTCAACAGGGGTCATACACAGTCAGCTAAGTGAGTGAGTGAGTATGGTTTAACGCCGCTTTTAGCAATATTCCAGCAATATCACGGCGGGGGACACCAGAAATGGGCTTCACACATTGTACCCATGTCGGGAATCGAACCCGGGTCTTCAGCGTGATGAGCGAATGCTTTAACCACTAGGCTACCCGACCGCCCCCACAGTCAGCTAAGAGGCCATGGCCCAGTGTTTCCATAAGGCAAGACTTTTTTCTGAGATTGCTTATGAAAAACAGAGAAAAAAATACCTGTCCACCACAAAAAAAATTATACACACATTGTCAACCTCAAAGCTGACATGACAAGCTTCACAAGCACTGCTACCATGGCAACATATTCAGACAACTTTTTTTTCAAAGAAAAAAACCCTAGAAATAAAAATATTATAAAGCCTAGCGCTTGATTTAACAAACTAACTATAGCTTGCACTTGGTGCATGATGACATCAAAACCTTGTTGCACCAGACTAAACCAGGTTGCACTCATATCGGTCCCTATTGACTGTACTGGCAGTAGTATTTCCTACATTTATGGCAAATGTAATTCTAGAAATATTATCTTGGTCACCACCATTACTGATAGTACTTGTAGCCAAATTTGACATGCTTCCACAAACAGAACCACGGTCACTGCTTGATTTGTTCTCAGCAGCTGAACTGCTTGGGACTCTGAAATCTTTTTTTATCCTGGCTTACCTCCCCTTGTTTGATGTGAACATCTCGATGAATGCCTTTTTCAACGACCTTCAGACACATGTCTCCTTTGAGCATGTAGAACAGCTGGAACAAACACATTTGCATAAATATTATGAATACTTTATGCCAAGGAATAAAAGCTCAAGAATGACATTTTTTCACTCATTACTACAAATGATCCTCTCAAAACCACAATAACAATCCAAAACAGGCTCTTGAGTTTTGCAGCTGGGACCATCATATCTGTCGTTTATATGACATCAGGGTCTGGGGAGAATTTTTTTATATTAGTTTGAGTGTACTGAAAGAACAAATTCTAATTCTCCCAACATATTTCTTTACATGCTCTTATACATACGTGCTGGGGCAGTGGGGTTGCCTTTAGGTTAAGCATTCGCTCGTCACGCCAAAGTCCTTGGTTCGATTCCCCACATGGGTACAATGTGTGAAGCCCATTTTGGGTGTTCTTGTGGTATTGTGGGAATATTGCTAAAAGTGGCATAAAACCATACTCACTCACTCATTCACTCAATCATATTTGCATAAAAAATCTTTAACCTCATAGAGATTGATCATCATGGCATTTAGGGCTGAGACGAGTCCAAATTTACTACCCGGGTACTGAACCACCTACTACCTGCCCCTACCCGGGTACCTGATCCCCTACTACATGCTCCTACCCAGCTACCCGACCCCCACTTTGGGCATACACACCGCTACTTGGTAACTACAATTTTGGCATAATTATGGAAAGCAAGACTTGGACTGCCATACCTCCTCTCCTTCTTCAATGTGGTAGTCCTTCCGCTGGTTGGGGCCGCCCACATAAAACACCTTCAGCTGACCTTCCTTGTGCCTGCGAATGTTCAAATGTTGTAGTTAGGGCTGGGACGAGTCCAAATTTACTACCCAGGTACCCACACCCCTATTACCCGACCCTACCCGGGTACCCGCTGTAGGTCTCAGGAGATGTCTCAAAATGTCCGATTGGGAACAAAACGTATTTGGATACATGTATTAAACAATCTGGTCATTCATACACTGAAGTTGAATTAAGTTATATGTTTATTCAACCATATGAAAAATCAGAAGGATTGGATGCATAGTCAGAAAGAAATGCGAACAATGTTGTGTAACCATCGAGTTCTAGATACTTTTTGTCATTAAACAATATATCATTTGACGAACCACGGGCCCGGGAAGTCCGATGGGTACCCGGGTCCTACTCAGTACCCACCCGACCCGGGTACACGAGTTACCCGTCCCAGCCCTAGTATGCATACATACATAATGTTGATACAATTAGAGACTCTTGTTTGGATCACATACACACAATTTGAGCATTATAAATCCTGTACTATCAAAGGAGACAGGAGATGGTCATCCTCTGTATCTCCAGGGCCCACTTGCACAAACCGATCTTAGAGCTACGACTATTGTAAGCCTATGTTAAAGTATGGGAGTTACGATCATCTTAATGCTAAAGTCGCTTTGTGCAAGTGGGCCCTGGGCTCCCATTTCGGTAAACTGACACTACCCCCAGGATCCATTCCCGTGGTTCTCCCAATCTCAGATTACCCACCCTTGATTTCCATTTGCCAATTACTACCAGGTCTAACGTACCAATCATGGCGATATCAACAACATGGCGGCCAGTCCCATTGATAATGGTTGAGTTTGCAAGAAATTCAATATTGAAAAACTGACTGACACACTAAAGAATCTTTTTTCAGGAAAGAATGTCATAATATCCATGCAAATTGGTGGTGGCTTTGGTTTCTAGGTAACACAAGTTATCTCCCTTACCCTTTCCCTTATGTCGACGTTTGATTGGTCGGTAAAATGTTAATGAAAATCAAGGGTGGGTAATTTGCGATGGCAGGAGCCATGGGTATGGTGTCCAGGAGTTAGTGTAGCTTCACCGAAAAGGTAGCTGGTGAAAATTGAGTAAAGCTGTGTCCATATTAATCATAGTTAGTTAACAGACTATAAATGTCCAGTTTCCACCCTTTCCAAACTAGGCTGGTATTATGGAGTGACATTTTGGCTGGACTAATGAGTCTATACATAGTCCAATCAAAATAGTGCACCGAAATTGAAATCCGGTTCGTGAACTGTCGTGCAGATTTCGGTCTATTGCAGGATTTGCAAAGCATGTGCACCACCATTTTCCCGAGGCAAGAGCGTTAATTGACTATAAAAGACCAGATTCCACCCTTGTCGAACTAGGCTGGGATTATTTAGTTACATTTTGGCTGGGCTCACGAGTCTATGCATAGTCCAATCAAATTCGTGCACCGAAATCAAAATCCGGTTCGTGAACTGTCGTGCAGATTTCGGTCTATTGCAGGATTTGCAAAGCATGTGCACCACCATTTTCCCGAGGCAAGAGAGTTAATTGACTATAAAAGACCAGATTCCACCCTTGTCGAACTAGGCTGGGATTATTGAGTTACATTTTGGCTGGGCTCACGAGTCTATGCATAGTCCAATCAAATTCGTGCACCGAAATCAAAATCCGGTTCGTGAATTGTCATGGAGATTTCGGTCTATTGCAGGATTTGCAAAGCATGTGCACCACCATTTTCCCGAGGCAAGAGCGTTAATTGACTATAAAAGACCAGATTCCACCCTTGCCGAACTAGGCTGGGATTATGGAGTTACATTTTGGCTGGGCTCACGAGTCTATGCATAGTCCAATCAAATTCGTGCACCGAAATCAAAATCCGGTTCGTGAACTGTCGTGCAGATTTCGGTCTATTGCAGGATTTGCAAAGCATGTGCACCACCATTTTCCCGAGGCAAGAGCGTTAATTGACTATAAAAGTCCAGATTCCACCCTTGCCGAACTAGGCTGGGATTATGGAGCTACATTTTGGCTGGGCTCACGAGTCTATGCATAGTCCAATCAAATTCGTGCACCGAAATCAAAATCCGGTTCGTGAACTGTCGTGCAGATTTCGGTCTATTGCAGGATTTGCAAAGCATGTGCACCACCATTTTCCCGAGGCAAGAGCATTAATTGACTATAAAAGTCCAGATTCCACCCTTGCTGAACTAGGCTGGGATTATGGAGTTACATTTTGGCTGGGCTAACGAGTCTATGCATAGTCCAATCAAATTCGTGCACCGAAATCAAAATCCGGTTCGTAAACTGCCATGCAGAGTTTGGTCGATTGCAGGATTTGCAAAGCATGTGCATCGCCAACTCGTTGTCAACAGATATTTTCCATAATCGTTTCATGTTTTTAATCAAGGTGCTCACGTGATTTGATGTACTTCGCGAAGTAAGAACCCTTTTATCACAAAATAGATCTTGATGGTTGATCAGATCATCTTGACTAGGCGCCACCATTTTGTTTGAAGCAAATGCATGTGATACGAGAGGTGGAATCTGATTGGTCCATATGGGAGAGGCATAGAATGGACACAACTTGTACTAGCCACTGGTGGCACTACGATCAATTCCAGGAATTCCAGCCAAGTTCGGCAAGGGTGGAAACTGGACTTTTATTGTCAGTTAACTCTCTTGCCTCGGGAAGATGGTGCACCACCAACTTGTTGTCAGCAGATATTTTCCAAATCGTTTCATGTTTTTAATCAAGGTACTCACGTGATTTGATGCATTTCGCGATGTAAGACAATATAGATCTTGATTATCAATCGTCCAATTTTCGAAATCAAGTCTTGACAAGTATCTCTTAGATAAGCATGCAAACTTTCATTCATGTAACGTCAGTAGTTTCTCCGAAAACTTGTCACCCTTTCACGCATTATACGCTATGTATAAAAAAAACCACTAAGTTGAAAAGCACGGAGCAAGGGCCATAACTCTGTAAAATGAATTTACGACACCTATTTTCGAAAATCATTTGAGATCATTTTGAGAGAATGTGTCTCCTTTGAGAAGCGTATGAACGGACAGATGGAGTGACGGACAAACCCTGTTCCTATCTCCCAATATATATATATGTGAGTACATATAATTATGAGGTATATGTTACCAAGTTTTGTTTGCTTGTTTGTTTGTTGTTTAACGCCGCACTCAGCAATATTCCTGCTATATGACAGCGGTCTGTAAATAATTGAGTATGGACCAGACAATCCAGTGATTGATATCATGAGCATGATCAACGCAATTGGGATCGATTATATGCATCAACCAAGTCAGCGAGCCTGACCACCCAATCCCGTTAGTCGCCTCTTACGACAAGCATAGTCGCCTTTTATGACAAGCATGGGTTCCTGAAGACCTAGTCTACCCCGGATCTTCACGGGTCTGTTACCAAGTGATAACTGGTAAAATGTTTTGAAACATATGTGCGGACTGCCCTCAAGCTGAAGCTCTGACCAAAATCCCCTGCAGTGCTGGGGTAAAAAAACGCAGAAAGGAGCGTCGCATGTGTTTGTCTACGCAACATAACAATAGTTCAACATGCTAATGGTGACAACTTTACTTAAAAACATAATTACGACATTTGTACTCACATCATCTTGTTGCAGACTGGAGGGAGAAAAAACTGTTTGTTTTCCTCGATCCATCGCTCCGTGTTGTAAACAACTGGTTGAGTGTCCATGATTGTTGTGCTTTCCCAGGCACTACAGATCTATAGACTGTTGAAAGTCGTTTATACTTATTTTCATCAGAGACCATAAAATAGATCATACAACGAAAAGACATAGCATAGAGTATATGGATCCATTTAACAGTGAAAAGAATTCAAATAATATTACATGTGTTTTGGAAATGTTTTCCGTGACAAGGGAGAAAGATATGAGTTATTAAATAAAACTGTTCTAGACTGGAATAAAGCTGATTTGGCCCATAAACCAGTGTCATGCAGATATCTCGTTTCTTTTACGAGGTTGACATGGCATTTGTTCAAGGTTTGCGGGTCATGGGGGACTCGTCATTAATTATAGAGGAGGGTGGATGGGTGGGTGCATTGTGGTGACATAAAGGGGTGGGTTGGTCTTGAAAAAAAATAAGGGGTGGTGTACGTGGCCACTAATTAGGGACAAGTTATTAATTATAGGGAGTGTGGGGGTGGGGCTGGGTGTCAAGGAAAAATATTACATGTATTAATATTCTCTCCCTCCAATCCTAGAGTACTTTCTACACACTTGCTCCTCTTGAATATATAAAGGCTATTTCATGAGTTTAATGTGATGTTTCTCCCGTCGAGTGAGGGGTGAAAAGGAGAAACATGCTATTTTTTATATAGTTTTTGTGTAATTGTCTACCGGGAAATTAAATTATTTCATTACAAATGTAAAACCTTGAAACGTAAATTCTCCCTACCTAACACAGAGGGACGGTTCACCACCCCTTGTATTTGCGAATAAAAGGTAGTTTCGTGTTTGCAAAATGTTAAGAGATATTTGAACAAAAGTAACAAAAAATATTTAGCGTCGCGAAAATTCTGTATCATACATATAGATATGATTATATACAAAATCAACTTTAACAAAAAATATTCGTGAAAACTACGAGACCGCTGTTGGAAGCGAAAGAATACACGCTGGCCAAGTAATTAAAATGCGAAACGAACAGTCTCGATTGAAGAGTTAAATAAGAAGTTTATAGCTTATAACGGGACATTTGTTAAGAGAATAACAAACGGCATGAAGCGATATTAACTCCATAAATTACCATCTGTCATTGTTTTGCCTTGTCAATGTGTACGGGCCAGAAACTAAAGGTAAAGGGAAACAATTTGAGGGGAGGTCAACGTGGTATGTGGTATGTTCACTGCAGTGAAATATCAAGTGTTATGTTTACTGCAATGAAAATATCAGTTTTCTCAACTTAGGAAAACTTTTTCATACTGAAGTATATAATAAATGAAATATTCTCAATATATGCAATGTAGTGTCATCAAGAGAAGCGTGTGGAGAAGAGGTGAGGTGAAATGGAGTTTAACTTCGCGTCCAAGATTATTGCACTTATATAGCGACGTGCATGCACGTGTGTGTTTGTGTGGCTGCGTGTTCTAGTCCGGGCTGATGCCGATTTATAGTGCTAGCCCACTGAGATACCATGACGCAGTTTCATATGAATACCCCACTCAGACACAGTATACCGACTCCGAGCCGACCAGTCCTTGTTTTAGCCCCTTAATTCCGAGCGCCAAACAGGGTAACAACAAGTACCATCTTAAACGTCTTTTGGTATGGCCGGGTATCGAACCCCGGACCTTCCGCTCTCAGGGCGGACGTTCTACCACTAGACCACGGAGGCGGTCGTGTGGAGAAGACCTGTGATGACATCATCTACTGTGACGTCACTAAACATTTCATCAACAATGATGTCTGTAATACCTTGCCAATGGCATCTAATCTGCAATACTTCTATTATGGTGACGTATAAAATTTCAAACCCGATTATTAAGAAAAATATGCACCGAGAAATTTGGATTATTTGTCGCTAGTGAATTCATTTTGTATTTATAAAGTTCTGAGTCGAGGTAATCCACAAATTCTGAGTTGCGTACTGAGGTTACTTTTTTAATATTATCAACAGTCATTTTCTTAAACATTACAAACTATCGTGTAGCAAATTGAAGCATACTTCCATACTAAAGATAATTTAAGTTTCAAGTCTTTCACGAAGCGCGTGTACTTCGCAGATGTTTCTCGTGGGTCAATATCCCGTGAGACATATATCGTGATAAGAATAAAGTCATTCAGTGGTAACACTTGACTGATTGTTAGTTTTGTCATTAATTGGTACACATTAGAAATATCTCTTCTTTACGTAGATTCTTCTCTATATGTTTCTATGGTTCGCGTTTCTTTTGGCGGTGAGTATATTTATGTGTGCGTGCGTTTAAGTGATATAAGGAATTTCTGGTGCACATGACAACACTCATCTATCTAACACGCTGGCCTTACATACCACGGCAACTAGGCCATCTAAAAGGAGGTCATCGAGCGAGCCTTTCAAAGGCGGGAAGACCTCAAGTAACACGTGACCTAATACCCTTTCTGCACACAGCTCCGGTGTTATGAGTGAGTGGGTGACTACGGTTTTACGCCGCTTTTAGCAATATTCCAGCAATATCACGGCGGGGACACCAGAAATTGGCTTCACACATTGTACCCATGTCGGGTATCGAACCCGGGTCTTCGGCGTGACGAGCGAACGTTTTTGACGTTTTTGACGTTTTTGATGTTTGTTATGACATTTGTGCAGAAAACAAAACAGTAACGCTGAAAATAGCGTGATAATGTAAGTCTCGTTTTGGGTGTGGTGTTGTATTCAAGATGCTTGTGTGCGTGCGTATGTCCGTGCGTGTGTGCCGCTGCTTGTACTAGTCCGGACAAATGCCGGATTTCTAGTGCAAACGACGACCCCCTTGTTTTATCCCCTTGTGCCGGGTATCATGCAGGGTGACAACAAGTTCCATATTTTACATATTTTGGTATGAGTGAGTGAGTTGGGTTTAACGCCGCTTTTAACATTATTCCAGTAATATCACGGCGTGTCAGCTTAATGTGGGAGAAAAGCCCGAAGTGATGCAGGTCGCAGACGTTTACCTCTTCGGTGAAACCCATGAGCACGGGTATGGTGCTGACATACCTAGAAACATAATCGGGGCGAACCGGGATTCGAACCCACAATCAAAGGTTTCTGGCGTGCCCAAGGGAAGCAACTCTGCACAGCGAATCGATTGATATCATGAACATTGGTCGAATCAATTGGGATACGATGACATGCATCAACCAAGTCAGCGAGCCTGACCACCCGATCCCGTTAGTTGCCTCTTACGCCAAGCATAGTCGCCTATGGGTTGCTGAAGACTTATTATCTACCCGAATCTTCATGGGTCCAAAACCGAATTAACTCATACAAACCACGCTGCTTCGGGGTCAGTAGATAATGCGAGATTGGTATTAGGATTGTATCATATTGTTCTTTATGTATAAGTTTTCATTGCCCCTCGAACATATGTAACAATGATAAAATGTGCATGATAATTGAAAACACTGCATAAACAACAAGTATTTTAAAATATGCTGGTGTTTAATGCGTATAAATCACCACCGATCGCCGCCTACGCTTTATGAAATGAACGCCTATACGAACCATATTTGATAATCCTGTTGTATATGTATAATTATATGACGTTATATCAACGCACTTGTTCGATTATATTCTGACATTTCACATTTTACACTTGCGTGTATATGTCCCGCCACTCCCCATCACCAACCTTTCAAACGTCGTTTCTTCAGAACGAATTGCACCAGTATCTATTTTGCCTTTACAATTCTTCAACGTATCATCGTTCACTCACCACCCGCACTCACAGTGCTTGAAGTACGTATGTTTGAAAATTGAGCGGAATTTTACCTGACCATGCAGTGTCGAAAATATATGTGACTGTCCTACACGTTCGGCGCTGTTCCGTGTGTATATGTGGCCCGTGTTAAAGTGTGGACATGAATGTGTGTCATGGTGATGAAATATAGAATACCACTGTAGGTTTAAGGGCACAAAATGTGTTACTGCAAGGTGACATGACCCCGTCCCACGGAGACACCGCAAATAGCGCTGTAGGTCGTGCATGGTGCCTCCCTCATAGACTGTATAGCAGTCTCCGTTATAGTATCTGTTTCCTTACCTAACATATCTGACAGTCTCTACTAGTTCATCTTGCCGATACCTTGGGATGATTTAGAAGAGTTGTGTTCTATAATGCCTTAAAATGTATTAAAATGTAAATTTCAGCTGACATTTTGTTGAATCGTGCAACGAAATATTTCCCTGTGCTGACCGAGTCCTGTTGTGTAGTGGTCTAGTGGAATTTTTACTGAATGTTCTTCCAGGGAGACTGCCTCCGCGGTCTAGTGGATTATAGCGTCTGTCCGAAGAAAGGAAGGTCGGTCATCATACCAAAAGACGTTAAAAGATGGTTAATGCGTTTACCCTGGCGCTCGGCCTAAGGGGATAAAGCAAGGGCATGTCATCTCGGAGTCAGTATATTGTGTCTGAGTGGGTAGTAATGTTAAAACGCATGCACGTCGACCTAGGAGTGCAATAATCTTCAACGCGCCGTCGAGATTTTTATTTGTGTTTTGTTTAAGACCGCACGCAGCACTATTACAGCTACATGACGGACAGTCTGTAAATAATCGAGTCTGGACCAGGGAAAACCAGGGATTGATATTAGGAGCACCAACTCACGCCGGGCACGCAATCAATCATGCCACCATGCCTGACCACCGAGTCGCCTCTTACGACAAGCCTAAGTCGCTTGGGGCCAATATTCAGACCCGGAATCGCCACGGGTGATGTAAATAATAAATGATTAACGTGTTCACAGTAACATTTATGCATGTATACTTATTTTAAATATGTTCACCATAAGCCTGATCCACGTATTTTGTTTAATATGTCCAATAATGATGTTGTGAATATGTACAACACGTGACACGTATGTACACAGTGTATATATTACACTTCAAGTTGCGTCCCTTGGTACGCCAGAAACCTATTATTGTGGGTTCGAATCCCTGTTCAGGCTGATTATGTTTCTAGGTTTGTCAGCACCATACCCGTGCTCGTGGGTTTCACCAAAGTGCTAAACGTCTGAGATTGCATAACTTCGGGTTTTCCTCCCACATTAAACTGACAACCCGTGATATAACTGGAATACTGTTAAAGCGGCGTCAAATCAGTTGTATATGTAAATGAGGTACCACTGAACTCGAAACGAAGACAAGAAATCCAAAAGAGGAGATCGATGACATGTATCATAATATTTACCTTGTGAGCGATTAATTAGTCCTAGGTATAAATATTCCGGAGGAATAAATTAAGTCATATGTAGAAACTGACCTGGGAAAGGACATACAGTCCTCATCGCGGGTATGTCGATTCCCCAAGTGCAAATGTTCAGGGGAAACGTATTTGCTCTCACATTTGTAACCAGCCACACTTGCAAATAAAATATGCACCTATTTTTATGTACACACGGGGAAGACCCTAAAGTATACACAGAAAATATATTTTTCAGTTTGCGTTCACCGTAAGTTTTTATTTTTGATTTAGTACCTGCCCACTTTTGGCATTATACATTAACATTGGTTATTTGGTTAGTTCATAAACATTGTTACATGTTGTTACATATAAACAGATCTCATCGTTTAAACGAGTAAGGATGCAATACTCCCATGGAACATATAGTGCATGCTCAGGTGTGTTAATTGTCTACAGTAAACGACAGTATAGTGTACAAATCCATATTTTAATCAATTGCTAAGTACATGCATATATCGTGTATAATTAACATGATTTATATCATAGTGATATCATGTCAAGCTATAAGTTTTCGACATAAATGAAAGACAAGAGAATGATTTAAAACTGTTTGAAATATGTATTCATTACGCTCTTCTAACTCGCCATATGCCATTCCTTATGAGTGTCAACAGCAGTCAAATCAATCATATGAGATTCAACTTTCCCCAGGGTCATAAAATTTCGTGAAATGAATGCTCCCATTCAAAGATACTTCATTTATTAGAATTAAAAGACAATTTATATGAAAAATAGAATTTCTAACGAAAATTGTGAAAATATTTTGTGGGTGTGAATAATGACAAGATATAATAAATTTGTGGATGGAAGAAATTCAACTTCCGTAATCTCGTTTGCGAGGGAGCAGTCATTGCTTGAGAGTTATCGGCTGACGTGTAATAAGTGCGGAGCAACAACATGGCAGCCCACAGAAAGGTGCCTGCGTATCTACTAATATTCCTATTTAATCTTGTATATGGTTCCAAAATATCGGACCTGAGGGTTTGTGCAGATAAAAAATGCGAAGGTAAGGTTTCTTATCAAATAACGTAAAAATTGGTTCTTAATATCTTGAGGAATCAACGTCATGTTGCTGATGACATGTTGACCCGGTGTGTCTCACCGTCTGGTCGATTTGTATCCTCAGTGTTCATATGCGAACTAACTGAACCATATACACTAGAAAACCTCGTTGCAACTATTATCTCAAATTTGCGTTTATGAAATATTTAATAACGATATCCAGTTGTTCAAATGACATTAAAAGCGTAATCAGATCACATTGATTCGCATGTCGGTACCACCCAGCCTATTGCCAACAAAAAAATCCGCTAGATGCTTTATGCCTAGCTTATGAACAGAAACCATTACCTATATCGGACATTTGGCGTGTAACAATGACTCTTTCATCGCATTTCCCGTTTGAATAAAATAGTGAAGGTTGTTAGTTACGTACATGTTCATATCCCATAAAATATTGACGGAAAAAAGTAACATTTCAGGTGTTTGTTTATCATGGTTATGGTATCAATGACTGTCTTTGATGACAATGGTAGTTTTTACTGATTAACTTTTTATGTTTGTTTTGGCATGTCTAGAAGGAAGTGTATCATGAAAGTCATAAATTTCTTTTACAAATCATGTTTGATTATGTTTTGATCCTGTGTGTTGAGCTTTTGAGGTTTGTTAACATGTGAGTGGCCAAGTATAAAGCAAGGAATGTGATGTGCAGAGTTGCATCCGTTATGCATGCCAGGATCTGATGATCATGAGTTTCACCTGCATAAATTTTGGTTTTCTTAGCCCTATGATTTAGCTGACATACTCATTGCTAAAACCCAAATGACATACTGACTGACAGACTGACTCATATATATGCTTATCAACATGCTTAAAACACTCACTCAGACTGCCTCCGTGGTCTAGTGGTAGAGCATCCGTCTGGAGAGCCGAAGGTACGGGGCTCGATCCCCGACCGCGTCATACAAAAAGACATTAAAATATGGTACTTGTTGTTACCCTGTCTGGCGCTCGGCATTAAGGGGCTAAAACAAGGACTCGTCGGCTCAGAGTCAGTATAATGTGTCTGACTGGGGTATTCATGTTAAACTGTGGCATGGTATCTCAGTGAGCTAGCACTTTAAATTGGTAACAGTCGGGACTAGTACAAGCAGCCACACACACACACGTGCATGCACGTTGCTATATAAGTGCAATAATCTTGTAAGCGACGTTAAACTCAATTTCACCTCACCTCACTTAAAACACTAACTCATATATGCTTAAAACAAGCTTAAGACAGTTACCCGTATATGCTTACAACATGCTTAAGGGGCAATATAGCCATGGTCTACTCTAAGTTTTATCATGAATAAAAACATGGTCCGTGAACCAAATGTTTTCTCGCAAGTTCTCTATACAATGTAATACTCCACAGTGATATACACATTTCTACTCCATTTAGTCTGAGGATCATAGTTTGAGGATTAAATACACTAGCCAGCTCCTTGTAAAACTGTAACTTTAGTGTTTCATGATAATATACACATGATGTTGATGATAACTTTTGAGGTAGGGACCTGCACTTGACATGCTTGAGGTAGCTCTGTTTGGTTAGGTTATTTGTTGTTTAACACCGCACTCAGCAATATTCCAGCTATATGATGGTGGTCTGTAAATAATTGAGTCTGAACCAGACAATCCAGTGATTGACATCATGAGGATCGATCCACGCAATTGTGATATGATGACATGCATCAACCAAGTCAGTGAGCCTGACCACCCGATCCCATTAGTCGCCTCTTTCCATGCTTACGACAAGCGTAGTCGCCTTTTACAGCAGGCATGGGTTGCTGAAGACCTATTCTAACCTGGATCTTCATGGGTCAGGTAGCTCTGTAAACAGCTGGATTCAGCATGTTCAGCACTTCAACTTCCAATAACTACTACTGCTACTACCATCTGACTACTACTGAACAATGTAAAAGCATATATTTTACAGCCCTTTATCATGCATGAACATGATGATTATCTGGGTAAATCTAGACAGCACTATAACCATGATAACCGTGTTTATCAGTGATCTTGAAATACCCATAGTAGTTTGAAGTCAGTGTGTGACCATTATCAGCTGAGTTTGATTATTTTGAACCGGTTGTATAATATAATCAAGATAATCATGATAATCTGATAATAAGACTGAACCTTTGCTTACTTGTTCTTTCAGGAATAATTTCATATGCCTCAACTTTAATGAAGTTTGACAAGAAGGATCCAGCATTTTTGAATTTCAAAGGTGGAGAGAGAATCAATGTGAAGAGTAAATCTGCAGGGAGTCGACCCGACTTGTGGGGCGGGGAGGTAAGCATCAAACAGGGTAGCAAAACCATGCAATAAAATACCGCTAGAACCATGATGGAGACAGTGTGTGAAACAGCTGCCTGTTCGCAAAATCATTGCTTGTTGTACCGTTGTCATGTTTCAACTTTGTTGGTGTAGTTCAACTTAAATGACAGTAGCACATGTGGTGCTGACATTTCACACTTTTCATGTTTATAATCGTCATTGATCACGTGTCTCTTCAGCAAAAATAAAATCGTGCTTTTGTGATTATTTTAAATATTTTTTAAAAAGCTTATTAGTAAACTCCAATTTAAATTTGAATGACCCAACTACCAAGCCTCTTTCTTTTAAACCATGTTAAGGTCTTTAGTTGTTTTCAGTTGTAAGAGGGCCTTCATGGGGTAGGGTGGCTTAGTTGTCTAAGGTAACGCTATTCACTATGCAGAGTTGTGTCCCCTGGGTATGTCAGAAACCTGTTATTGTGGGTTTGAATCCAGGTTCGCCCCCATTATGTTTCTAGGTTTGTCAGAACCATACCCATGCTCAATGGATTTCACTAATGTGGTAAATAAATATTACCTGCATCACTTTGGGCTTTCCTCCCACAAGCTGACACGCCATGATCTGGAATACTATTTAAAACGGCGTTAAACCCAACTAGCTCATTCAGTTGTAAGAAATTGTTCACAATTCAAACTTCTATTCCAACACTGTAAATACCCTGATTGCATTGGGACATGTTGATAGGTTTCACAAATAACTCCATTTGCTAACATTACAAAATTATCCCAGAAATTACGCTGACTCTAGTTTTCATAACAGGCCAGGATGGCTTGTGGCTTTCTTCATACCAACTGCCATTTGAAAACATTTCTAGCCATTGACCAATAGACTAATAGACCAATAGACCAATAGACCAGGTACATTGTGTTGACCATGTAGACTACTTTTACCTGACTGTGTTAGTGACCAAGTCTATATGAATATAATGTGCATACATTGTTGACATGCCTATCATGCCTATTGCAATGGAGAAAAATAAATATAATACAAAAATTCAAGGTTTGTCTGTAACTTTGTCAGATCTGATTTGGTTAATGATTGTATATGTTTGAACTATTACCTTTGATTTGGTAAGGATTTACTTATAATCGGTGTATGAAAAGTTTAGATTAGCCATGTTGGCAATGCTACTTGGTAATCATGTTAATAGTAAAGTATTCATGACATCAATATGATTGAATAAATTGTTGTCTTCTGTCAACATGGTCATGTTTGCCACAGTTTGTTCAGCATGTTTTGTTCTCTGTTGTAGACATCAGATGGAAGACAAGGTTATTTCCCCAAAGCGTTTGTTCGAGAATTTAAAGTGGACGTAGCCAACCCTGAATTTGTTGTACCCACTGAGGTAAGACATTAAATAGGTAACCGTTATGGATTGGGACGAGTCCAAACTTACTACCTGGGTTCCCACCCTCCTATTAGGGGACCCTACCCGGGTACCCACTGCAGGTCTCAGGAGATGTCTTAAAATGTACGATTGGGAACTTTTTTTAGAATAGCCCTGGCAAAACATATTTAGATACATGTTGTAATAAACGATCTCATCATTCATACACTTAAATTGAATTAAGTTATATCTTTATTCAACCATATGAAAAATCAGAAGGATTGGGTGCATAGACAAGAAAGAAATGAAATCATTAGTGACTTGTTGTGTAACCATAGAGTTCTAGATAATTTTTGTCAATAAACAATATATCCCAGACTAACCACGGGTCCTGGTCCTCCTGTGAGTACCCGGGTCCTACTCAGTACCCACCTGACCCGGGTACCCGAGTTACCCGTCCCAGCACTGGTAACCATCATGACAAAGCTAAACTGCAGATTTACTTTTTTCTATTATTTGTATTCTTTGTTTACTGTTTCAAGTACGGTGTCACCTTGCAAAACCTCTGGTTAAGACAAAATTAATAAGTCAATATACAAATGCTAATGTTAATGCAAAATTGATACTTTGTACTTAAAAGTGGAGAGGAATGATAATCTATTTTAAAAAATGTTTTTTGGTGGCATGGGATAGCCTTATGGTTAAAGCGTTGCCTCTTCATGCTGTAGGCCCAGGTTTGATTCAACACATTGGTTCAATGTGTACATGGTGTAGCCCATTTCTGGTGTCCACTGCCATGATATTGCTGCAAGAAGTGAAAAAACATACTTCCTCACAAAAAACGTTTTTAGTTTTGAAATATGTTGACAACACATGCCCAGATGACCATGTGGTGAACTGCTGAGATATGTTTTACCTTGCAGGATGTAAGTATAGAAACACAGCTGGGTATCAATCAGGATGCTCCCCCCCAGCAGCAAGAGGCAGATCGTGGGGGCGGGGAATCCGAGGGGAAGGATGATACTGAGATAGATGACACAGAAATAGCAGAGGAACCCGAGGCTGAACAGAAAGATGGTATGTTGGTGTATAGGAAATGTTGTTGAAGTTATTTAGGAGTTTTATAAATTTTTATGTTTTACGTTTCCATGGCAACAAGTTGGACATAGGTTCTATAAGGGTGGTGTTCGTTTCCGGAGCATAACTCAAAAACTGTTAAATCCTTTCTTACAAAACTTTGCATGTCTACTAGGCACATACTGAACTGGTGCCTTTTGCTATTTAGGAATTTTATAAATTTTTATTTTTTACGTTTCCATTGCAACAAGTTGGACTTAGGTTCTATAGGGTAGAGTTTGTTTCCGGAGCATAACTCAAAACCCATTCAATACTTTCCAACAAAAACTGTGCATGTTTACCAGACACATACTGAACTGGTGCCTCTTGCTATTTAGGAATTTTAGAAATTTTTATTTTTCACGTTTCCATGGCAATAAGTTGGACTTAGGTTCTACAGGGGTGGTGTTCGTTTCCAGAGTGTAACTCAAAAACCGTTAAATACTTTCTTACAAAACTTTGCATGTCTACCAGGCACATACTGAACTGGTACCTTTTGATATATAGCACTTTTAGAATTTTTTATTGTTTATGTTTCCATGACAACAAGTTGGATTTAAGTTTTAATATAGGATTGGTTTACTTAAGTAGTATAACAAATAAACTGTTAAATATTTACTTGCCAAACATTGCATGTCTATATATAAAGCGCATACTGAACTAGTGCCATTTGATATTAAGGAGTTTTAGAAATGTTTATTTTAGAATTTCCATTGCAGCTATTTTGACATGGGCTAACAGAAATGTTGGGTCAGTTACCTGGTTTGGGACCATAACGTGTTAAAATGGGCGGGGTATATAGATGACTTTGTCAACTATACGCTTGTTGTTTTACTTGTTGTAACCATGGCAACTGGCACTTGGTTTACATATCTTTTCCCACAATCTATAGGACCGCCTCCGTGGTCTTGTGGTAGAGCGTCCGCCCGGAGAGCGGAAGGTCCAGGGTTCGATCCCGGGCCGCGTCATACAAAAAGACGTTAAAAGATTCAGTATACTGTGTCTGAGTGGGGTATTCATGTTAAACTGCGGCATGGTATCTCAGTGAGCTAGCACTATAATTCGGCATCAGTCCGGACTAGTACAAGCAGCCACACACACACATACACGTGCATGCACGTCGCTATATAAGTGCAATAATCTTGGACGCGACGTTAAACCCAATTTCACCTCACCTCACAATCTATAGGTTTAGTGTTTAAATGGAAGTACAAACAAATATTCAGTACCATCTTTTTAAATTGATCTCTTGTATCATTTTGAATATGTTGAATATAATTTCTGTTGGGAAACATTTAGAAAAGAAAGTTAGATCATGTAGATGAGAAATAACTTTCAATGACAAGTCAAAGGGTTTGTTCCCTTATATAGAAATATCATTCTGATAATTCTGAAAGTGTAGGGTTTTTTTAATCAATATTTTGGAAATTTAACAGATTCTCTAGATCTTGAATTCAGGTCTGTAGCAAAGTTCCAAGTGAACTACTCACAACATTGACTAAATGCAGGGATGTGAAATCTCCGCGGAAACGCGGAAAATCGCGTTTTTCAAAACAGTAGTCCTCGGAAAAAATCATCTTCCGCGGAAAAAATTATTAAAGATTTAAAAAAAAACACTCCGAAAAATATGATCGAAAACCGGACAATCGGCGCGGATTGTCCTGTTTTCGATCGGAGCTTTCACAGCATAGGTTTTCGGACATCATACGTTTTCTGTCACGAATACTTGCACTATAACGTGGGGTGTGGCGTCACACAGAAATTGTAAATACTCAGAGTCAGCTGATGGCTTGTTTTTAAGATAAAGCCTGTAAGTGAATGAGATGTTTTACAGTTGTTCATGTGATAAGCGAGAAATTTATGAATGTTTCTTCAGCGTCCAAAACCCCATGTCATGGGGATATATATTGTATTAATGTCTTATGTTTGCAATGGAGTTTGTTTTTTTTCATCAAAAGGTAAGTACAAGGTAAGTTTTTTTCAATATGCTTCAACATGGGGAAAGGGTCAGACATTGCACGCTTGTGACAGTTGTCCTTGTGTCTGGGGGATGGGGGTTGAAGTTTATGGCAGTATTGCTCCCAGACCTGGCGGGTAGCCAGGTGCGCGAAAGCTATGCCCGATTTTTTTAAAGTACTGATTTAACTTCGAAATTTTACTGCATCTGCCATCTTGTTTATTTTACTTATTGACTTTTGCCATTGACTTATTACATTTCTTGGTGTGAATGTTGTCCAAACTGCATGAAATTGCTTAAAATGCAATCAAATGTTTTACAAATTTCTGGGGGGGCATACCCCCAGACCCCCCTAGACTTTTCCTCTTTTTTCGGCAAAACCTGCTCACATCCCTGTAAATGTGTGGTGAATGTGGATCCTCATACTGTGTCTCCTTATTTCTTCACATATCTTTCAGAACCTGCTGTGGGGGACTCCAGACAAGGACAGAGCGCACAGGTCAGTTGCCTTTATCCGACCTTCCAGAATATCATTGATTGATTGGTTAGTTGTTTAACGCCGCACTCATCAATATTCCAGCTATATGACGGCGGTGTGTAAATAATCGAGTCTGGACCAGACAATCAAATGATTAATATCATGAGCATCGATCCACGCAATTGGGATCGATGACATGCATCAACCAAGTCAGCAAGCCTGACCACCGGATCCTGTTAGTCGCCTTTTACAACAAGCATAGTCACCTTTTACGGCAAGCATAGGTTCCTGAAGACCTATTCTACACCGGAATCTGTCCGGGGATTCCGTCGCCGCATTGCTATCTAAACTTGTGGACTCCAAGCTGGCGGCCTTATCTCAGGATAGGCCGCTGGCTGTTCCGTCCCCAGCCTCTTCGGTGGCCGCGGGGTCCACTGGTACGGCGGCGGCTGCCGTGGTCACCGGTCCTTCCCCGAACCGTTGCTCCCGCTATCAGTTAAGGACTGCGTGGCCATGGCTTATGACCTCTTCAAGGACATGCCCAATCCCCTGCCGATATCGTGGGGAATCCACGGCTCCGTGGGTTCCTCCGAGGTGTACGACAAGTCGTCCGACAAGGCTTTCAGGGCATCAACCTTGCTGCGCGGGATTAAGCCTTCCCTGGAGAAAGCCTTCGCGGCTGCCTCTGGTCGGGGTCTCCCGTTACCTCCACCGTCGTGGAGAAAAGGGTCCTTCCCGGTGCATGACCTTGCCTTTCCCGAGGCTGGTCCTACCGCGGAAGCCCATGTTGAGCGTTTGGGTGTCCGTGCCCCACCGGCTGCCACGGTACCACAAGGTACCTTGCAGCAGCTGGACACCCTTGCTTGACACTCCATCCTTGCCATGTCTCACAGAGACACATACCTGGCTGCAGCGGCCAGTCTGGTCGAAGGTTCTCCCACGGACCGAGACCAGCGCATTTATAACTGCCTGCTCAGTTTAAATGCTTCCCTGGCCTTTATTTCCGGCACGTGCCATTTTCTCCGGCGCCAGTCGTATCTGGTTGCCTTAGGGTTGGATGCTGCTAATTCGGAGGTGCTCCTTTCGCAGCCTTGGTCTGCTCGGACCCTGTTTAATAACAAGATCCCTGGGGTTCTGAAAGAACAACAGGCTGCTGTGTCTGCCGAGGCCTCTTGGCACACACTGGATCTTGTGGGGTCCTTGCATAGATGCCTGAGTGCCGCTCCTAAGCGGAGCGCGCCTCAGGATGCTGCGGCCGGCAGGCCTAAGGGGTCGGAAGGGGAACTGGGGGAAGCCCAAGTCGTCTAAGGACGGCAAGGGCCCCTCCAGGTCTCTCTTTGGAGGGGTTCGTGTGCCAACAGCGCCAACTTCAGTTGGCCCGTAGGCGAACCCGTGTCACTCAGCCCTGGACAGTTGCGCCTGCCGCAGCCTGACAGGGCCCCCTCTCCTTCCCAAGTGGGAGCCAGACTCCAGACTTACTGGGAGAATTGGGAACAAGTGTTCGACGACCCGTGGGTGGTCAACACGATTCGGTACGGCTATCGGCTTGATCTCAAAGCGAATCCGCCGCTCACCGTTGCCCCATCTGCAGGTTTCTATTCGGAAACCGATCTTCCCATCCTCGCCGATGCCATCGGCAGGTTGGTGGAGAAGAGGGCAGTTCGGGAGTTAGCTCGACCAGAAATAACACCGGGGTTTTACTCCAGGATATTTCTAGTTCCCAAGAAGGACAGTGCTGAACTCAGAATGCTCTCGCGTTAGACTGGACGGGCTTGGACGCTTATGCTTACCGGCCGACAGCGTTGATACCACACATTCTAAGCCGGCTCCGAGGAGTTCGCTGTCGAATGTTACTGATGGCGCCCATGTGGCCGAACAGATCGTGGTACCCCGACTTGCTGACCCAGGTCACGCAGTCGCCACTTCCACTGCCTGTGAGACCGGATCTCTTGATCCACCCTCACACCCGTCAGCTTCATCTAAACGCAGGGCAGTTCAAACGCATGGATGTTGTCACCGAGCGTCTGAGGAGTAAAGATTTTTCTCGTCGGGTGTCTCGGGCATACGTTAGTATGCATCGTTATTCTACCCAGAAGGTGTATAATGCACGTTGGGTTATTTTCACAAAGTGGTGTTGTAAACATCACATTCATTCGCCATAAGGTATCTGTGCAGGATATTGCTCGTTTCATGTCTCACTTGCGAGAGACCCGGAAACTCTCCGGGGGTTCCATTGCCAACTATGTCTCGTCCGTTGCTACGGTACGGGACGTTGCTATGGGTACCAGTCTCTCCAAAGAGCCGGTGATACGGGGTATTATCAAGGGTTTCGAACAGCACGATCTTAAGAAGGGCCGCCTTCGGGCACCAGCCTGGGATCTTTCCCTAGTGTTGAAATCACTTACGGAAGCTCCGTATGAACCCTTGCATAGTGCTTCGTTCTGGCATGTGACTTGGAAAACAGCATTTCTCCTCTCCTTTGCCACGGCGGCACGTGTATCCGAAATTCATGCACTCAATGTTGCCAAGGTACGATTCGATAGGGGTGACAAAGGAGCGGTCCGCCTGGGCCTGCTCATGGGCTTCGACGCCAAGAATCAGAGAATCGGGCAAACAAGGGAGAGAGAATTCACTGTAAGATCACTCAAAGAAATCTTACATCCTGCTGATACTGAGGACAGAGCGCTGTGTCCGGTTAGGGCCCTTAAGTATTATCTTATAAGGCTTTGAATGAACGTAGACAAGGGCGTGATCGTCTGTTCATATCGTGTAACCCTAATCGCACGGTTGACATAACTCGCAACTCGATTGCGTTGTGGCTTCGTTCTGTCATCAATCTGGCGTACCGGTCTCGGGGGTTACTGGTAGCGGGGTCAAACCTGCACGAGATCAGGGCGCTAGCGGCAACATTTGCCCTACACTCGAATATCTCTGTTCACAGAATACATGTATTACGAGGTTGTTACTGGCGTTCTGACTCGGTTTTTGCCAATCATTACCTCAGAAAGGTTTCTGATGAAGACGTGGAGGGGGTGCACCGTCTTGGGCCGCTGATCGAGGCACAAGCGGTCATCTAGGGGGTGTGTCCAGCGCAATTCTAAACTCTGCAGTCGTCAGTCCTTGCACGGTGGTCAATCTGGGTCGTCTCCAATGTTCCCATGCCATGGGTACAGGAGTGGGGGTCCTGCAAACCAGCGCACTCACACCACAGGTTAGGCGGCTTTTTGTGTGTTTTGTCCTTATTTGTATTTTGACAATTATGCATTTAATTGTCTGTCGTGTATTCCAACCTTGTGATACATGCTTACGAATACTGGAATTAGGTCACGTGCCTAATACATACGTTAAGTAGGCTTGCTCGGGGATATACGGTCTGAATGAAATTAATTTCCCTCTTTTGACTGTTTAACCTGATCTAAGATTTAGCTCACGCCGATACAGTGTTCTCATCCGCTACGGCGATGAAATACCTATCCAGTGGGGCTGTTTGGAGTCACCAATCGTTTTGGCAATGACGATTGAGCCTTAAGGTATGCGCTTGACAGTGCTTTGGTATTCCTATAGGGTAACGCCTAGCTAGGTGCATGCGCATCAGTGCTTCCGCCTTGGTGTTTACTTCCGCTGGTCGGAAGGAACGCTACCAGTCAGGATTCGGGTTGTAGGTGCTCCCCACCGCCTACTGTGGTAGTCAGCCTCGGTATAACAGTGGTAACGTATTACTTAATGTAATTTGTAGAATTTTCCTATTTGGAATATTCTATAATTAATTCGTTACCACTGGGCTGCTGCCCGCCTGTCCGTCGCCCGAGCACTTGCTCTCGCAAGAGACAAGAGTGAAGGGTGTCACATGGCAGCTAGGTGGCTAGGCATGTGCATGAGGTAACTGAGATCTCTGTGGTAGATTTCGCTATAGCAGCAGTTGTGGGAGACAACAGCCTCGGTATAACAGTGGTAACGTATTACTTATAGAATATTCCGAATAGGAAAATTCTACAATATAATGATACACAAGCCTGACTGCTTGTGAGATGTAAAACTAAATAGGAGTTGTCTTTTCTAAAACCATTTCTTACCTTTTAGGGAGAAGAAGCTCACAAAGATGAAACCGAAATTGATGAAACAGAACTTGGGGGTGATGCTGGTGAGAAACAGCCAAAAGCTGACAGCCAATCAGAGGCCTCCACACAAAACACAGAAGGAAAGCAACCAATAGAAGATGGTAATACGCCTGAGGATGATGAAGATGACACAGAGTTTGATAAGGAGGATGAAGATGAAGATAAAGATACAGATACAGATATTGCAGATGAACCTGAAGGTTTGTTGATAGTTTGAGTCAATAAATATGTCTTTAATTTTCTTCATTTAAAATCAATAGTATTTTACTCATTACATTTAGAAAGATTCAAGGCAATACTGATTTCATTGTGTCACTCTTTGTTATTTCCCCAACACTTCCTGACTTTGTCCTGCAGACTCAGTGATTCAGGGTAATGTGAACACAACTCGCTGCTTCATGATGAGTGAGTGAGTGAGTTGGATTTAACGCCGCTTTTAACAGTATTCCAGTTACATCACGGCGTGTCAGCTTAATGTGGGAGGAAAGCTCGAAGTGATGCAGGTCTCCGACGTTTACAACTTCGGTTATACCCACGAGCATGGGTATGGTGCTGACAAACCTAGAAACATAATCGGGGCGAATCGGGATTCGAAGCCACAATCATAGGTTTCTGCGTGCCCAAGGGACGCAACTCGCGGTGCCTTAGACGACTGGGCCACCCATGCCCCCGCTTCATGATGAGGGGCATTGTTTCCGGGATGTGAAGTCACCCTGACGTCACAATACAAATGTCATTTTATCAATGTGAACATGGGACCAGAGCTCCAGATAACTTTTTGAGCAATTGAGTTTTTACTGTTGGATTTCTATTTTAATTGGGTTATTACATTTTTCGTTGGGTAACCAATATTTTTTCACTCATCTATTCATCACTCTATTGTTTTTTACCAAAAATTAATGAATATTTTAAGATTAAAACAATGAAATGATGTTTTAGATGTATATAACTGTTTTAGATATATAGGTTTGACTCGGAAAGTAAATTAGCTCGTAATTGTGTTTCGGAAATTAGCTCCTTTATACGCATGCTGAAAAAGGTTCATTGGGTTTTATAATTTGAGTTTTTCATTTAATGCATGCGTTTCTGTACACAAGTTAATAGAAAGTAATTGGGTTTTGAATATTTTGGGGGGGTATTTTACGCAAATACGCTGTTTATCTGTAGCTCTGAAGGACACTCACATAGTTTGCAATAATTTTGTGATTTACACTACATTCACCCGGAGGATGTGACCTCCTTATATCTCAAGGTCACAGGAATGAAGGGACAACTGCTGCACTTCTTGACCTCATGACGATGTGAAATGAGTGAGTGAGTGAGTGCGTGAGTATGGTTTTATGCCGCTTTTTGCAATATTCCAGCACTATCAAGACGGAGGACACCAGAAATTGGCTTCACTCATTGTACCCATGTCAGGATTCGAACCTAGGTCTTTGGCATGACGAGTGAATGCTGTAGGCTAAAATAAATAATAGTCTTGGTTCTCGGGCACTGCCCACATCATCATAAAGTTCATTGCACGTTTCGTTTTTGTACCATTTTAATTTTTTTGGTGCATCGTGTTTAAGTATTAGGATTTTTATATTTTTTGAAAATGGAAATAAAAACTAAACGTATGGCAGACTTTATGATGATGAGGGTGGTGCCTGAGAACCAAGATTAATATTTTTTTTAGCCTTAACCACTAGGCTACCCGACCGCCCCTAACATGAAATAGTGTGATCTTTGTTTGCTTGTGATTACATTTCAACGTCTTGTTAACATGTTAGTTTCAGCAAGAGAGGATGAAGACTTCTTGCTTGGTTTGGAAGACCTTGATAAGAACTTTTTTGACGTACATGACAGTTTAGATGACGTCCGAGGTTGGCTATAGCATTATGTCTGCCTGTCTGTAATCTTGTTTGTGATGAAGCCTTAATCCCTGTAACTGACTTCTCATCATTGCTCATGGTCAAAGGTCACTGACCGGAAACACTCTAACCTCACTAAGAAAACACAGTAATATCTTCAGTTTTATGCACATTGTTTATGGTGTATCCAAAGATTTACACATAATTATCAGTTGAAAAATTAACAGCCAGCTTGAATTATGTTAGCTTGTATCCACCTCAGCATGCTCAATTTGGAAATACTGGGTTATGTCCTATTACATTGACCATCCTTTCCTGTCGTTTATGTTGGTTATTGAGAGCTTTATGTTTTCCCAAGCTCTGCTCATCGTTCCAATGCTAGTTAATGGAAGGATTCACTATGCCTCTCTGCAAGGAGCTTTATGTATGTTGAGCCAAACGTTTAGCATAGTCGGTTTGATTGTGTGGTTATTGTATATCTGACTCGTTTTAATTATTGGCTATTTTTATCTTATTCTTTTAATGTGTTACTAGTAGAATTAATTCACTATGCACAGTTTTATAGAGGAATTGCCACAACTATTTGAGCATAGAGGGGAATGTGATGCATAGGATGTCAAGCCTTCAGTATGTTAACATCACCTGTTGACTGTAGTTATTGCGCCAATTGAGGTATTTTCTGAGAAAAGCCAGTGACCTTGACTGCAGGCTCTTTAACATTAGAGTTCTGAACATCGCACATTCTTTTGTACACCCTTTCTCTAACCAGAACTTGTGTTTCCAGAAGTCCATTTTGAGAACACACATGTTATCTTGTTCCTGTCATGTATATTTGCTACCGTATATCGCTGTGTATAAGGCGAGTTTTTTGTACCTAGAATTATGGGGCTTTCAAGGGGGGTCAGAAGATCGCACAACTCACCGTTATTTACAGCAACCACGGTCATGTTACTGCTTTTGACCCCTTGAAACGAACATTTTGTGGATAGAGAATGGATATATATATATATATCATAAATGCCATACTTTGACTCGCTGAAAGTCATATTTGTTGTAGTTTGACAATTATTTGTCAACATAAAGTTTTCACTGTCGCGAGCATGGAAGCATCGGCGGTGATTGGTCAAATTGTTCCATATGAAAAAAATATCCCTCAATAGCGATCAGCTGTACCAAAATGCTATGCTTATGGTTTACTCATTTATTTCAAATACATATAGTAAAATACTACTAAAATAATATTATATTGGAATAAATTATTCTGAATAAAATAATAGTTTCAGATTCAATTCTTTCGATTGTTGTATCAAAATTCTTTAAAGTTATATTATTGGGTAATTATTAACCAAATCCCCGGTAGATTCCGAGAAACATGTGTACAGCTGATTGCTTCTTCTGGCTTAGTTTACGAGAAAGTACACATGGTAATCTTAACATCTGCATGTAAAACAATGCCTATCAGAACAGGAAATACAATTTAATCGGTAAATGATCATGTCTAGTGTTTTTTTTATCTCAACTTTTAAATTTGTATTGAATATAGTTTAATTGTTATGATCTGTTCGTTGCCCTGATCGCTGAAGGAAAACAATGTAATTGTTTTCCGCGGAAGACAAACATGTTTTTATTGCTAATGTGGGGGTTGGTTGTGTATGCGCTGGTGACGTTCTTCATTCTGATTCACTTTATAGATGGGGTATATATATTAGCATTGATTTTAAAGGTTTGTACAGGGGAGTTGTCTTATACGTGGGGTCGCTTTATAGACGGCGGTATACGGTATATGTGTTTTCACCTAATTGTTCAAAGAGCCAAGCTAGCATTTATAGGACTGCTAAGCATCATGAGCATGAAGTGGAATGTATGCACGGCATGGTAGGAAGTCCTTATGGTCTTTGATTAGACATGTTCAATTAGGCTGGACCAAGTAACATGAGTCATATAAGATCGTCTGCAATGTACTTTTGTAGACTGACTCAATAACATTTAAAAACAATCCTGGACAAATCCCAATGTTCTTAAAAGTGAAATGAAAAATGGCCTTTTTTCATGATGTTGCTGACGGAGACGTGAATGTCAATGAAAAGATAACAGGTATATTTCTCAGTGGTGATTTAAGGTTTTTCTTTTGGATTGAGGTACAGAATGTTTTTGAGAAATAATAAGGTTTTTATTGATAATGTTCTACCAGCATCAATCAAAGACTGTCTAGTTGCAGCTCTGTTGTTTTCAGCAGTGTAGAAAACATATTCATATGCTGATTTCTGCTGCGTGGCACATCTATACATATTCCAAGGTAGACACGATTTTATGGATAACAGCTTCTTTAATACTGTGAAAAGCGACGTTTCAGTATAGATCCTTATACCGTTGTCAAGCAGTCTTGCTGGTCGGTACACATATTTAGTGCAAGGCCTTGACTGCTCACTACGGTGACTACAACCTCAACCCCAACCCCAACCCCAACCCCAACCCAGACCTCAACCTTGACCTTGATCTCAAACTTGACTTAGTCCCAAACCTTACCGGTAACCTTAAACCCTACTCCAACTTTAACCTTGACCTCCAACACTGACTTCAACTCCGAAACTCTCCTATATGCATCTTACATTTTAGTTACTCAAACACAGGACGAGACAATTTGGATGAACCTGGCAATAATAGCGTATCACAGACAAGGCAAACTTCTGTCTGTGCATGTTCACTCTTTGTCAATGTTAACATCAGAATGCATTTGGAAGTTTCCGTCTTGCATTTTAATCCTGCAAATAAGTCACTTACAAGCATGCACTATTTAATGTATCAAATATATGCAATTACCTGGCTACAACAAATTGATTATTTATTCTTGAGTTTTTAACATCTTTAAAGGGTTAAACAATATTCATATAACATCATTAAAATCACAACATTACGAAAAAATGACTGGTTTAAAGAAATGAGGAGTATGATACATTTCCGTTGTGATATATTTTTCTTCTTGCTAGGCTATAGTACATGACATATTGATTTAGTTTGTCCAACATGAGGGGCGGTCGGTAGCCTAGTGGTTAAAGCGTTTGCTCGTTACGCCGAAGACCTGGGTTCGATTCCCGACATGGGTACAATGTGTGAAGCCCATTTCTGGTGTCCCCCGCCACGATATTGCTGGAATATTGCTAAAAGCGGCGTAAAACCATATTCACTCAATCACTCACTTGTCCAACATGAATTTTGGCAGTTATTATCAGGCAAAGTGTCTGGTTAAGCCTGTTAGGATAGCCTAAGATACTAAACATCAGGAAACCAGTAGCATGATTACAACACTGTACAAATGATGTTTTTAGGCAAAGAGGATTTCCGCTAAATGCAATGAACTAATAATGAATTTGTTGTGACCTCTTGTTTGTAAATTACTAATGAAAGAATATTGTAATCTATATGTACACTAATAGACATGTGTGTTGTTATGATTGCATCATTGTACTTCTTAAAAGTTTGGATCCGAAGGACACCAAATCAAATTTAGCATGAAAAAATATAAAAATATATATCAAATTTATAATCATTTAAATAATGTGTTTTTGGTCGAAATGAAAAGTTCTTTAAATTTTTTGCTTCTCTGGAATGTTCAGTTACTACCATGTATTGTCATCAGATGCCCATGATGAAATCTATGATCAGCTGTGAATAAATACATTAAGAATTGCACAGACATGACATAACAGATGGGAATATAGCCTATAGCCTAGCCTGATAAGAGAGACTGTCCATGATTGGTATGTTATCCTTCCTGATACTTATTGAACTCCATGTTGACAGATGTCCCTGCTGCAGACGGAGAGCGTGATGAGAGTAAAGATAGTAAAGAGGAGGACACTCTACACAAGGACAGTGATGGGTCCCAGACAGACACGCCCGCTCGGACTGATCAGGGGAATCAGGAGATTGTGGTAGATCTGACAGGCAAGGGAGAAAAGGAAGTGGAGGTGCAGATTCAAGAAGCCCAGGAATTACCACAGCAGGATCAGCCCCCACAAGAACAGGATCAGCCTCCAAAACAACAGGATCAGCTTCTAAAACAGGATCAGCCCCCACAACAACAGGATCAGCCTCCACAACAGCAGTATCAGCCTCCAAAACAACAGGATCAGCTTCTAAAACATGATCAGCCTCCAAAACAAGAGGATCAGCCCCAACAACAACAGGATCAACCACCGAAACAACAGGATCAGCCACCACAACAACAGGAACAACCTCCAAAACAACAGGAACAACCTCCAAAACAACAGGAACAACCTCCAAAACAACAGGATCAACCACCGAAACAACAGGATCAGCCACCACAACAACAGGAACAACCTCCAAAACAACAGGAACAACCTCCAAAACAACAGGAACAACCTCCAAAACAACAGGAACAACCTCCTAAACAACAGGATCAGCCCCCACAACAACAGGATCAGCCTCCACAACAGCAGGATCAGCCTCCAAAACAACAGGATCAGCCTCCACAGCAAGAGCAACCAATACAGCAACATGTACAACCACCACAACAGTCACAGGAGGGTGATAGACACCAGCAACAACAGCAACAAGATCAACAGCATTTCCAGCAGCCTCCTACTGGAAACAAACTTGATGTAGTTTTGGATAAACGTCTGAATCCTAACCAGTTTATTCAGCAACAACAGCAGCAAGTTCATCAACAGCACAAACAGCAACAGCATATAGATCAGCAGCAACAGCAACAGCAACATCCACATCATCAGCAACAACAACAACATGCACATCAGCAACAACAACATGTACATCATCAGCAACAACAACATGCACATCATCAGCAACAACAACATGCACATCATCAGCAACAACAACATGCACATCATCAGCAACAACAACATGTGGATCCTCATCACCACCACCAACAGTATCAGAGGGATCCAAACCAACCTCAACAAACAGATCACCACCATCACCAACCACCCCAAACAGATCACCACCATCACCAACCACCCCAAACAGATCACCACCACCATCAGAGACCTGATGTTCACAGACAGACACCTCCAACACCAGATGCTGTCACGGACACACCGCCTGTTGTCAGCTCACCTCCCCCCACAGAGCAGCCTCCGGCCCAGGACCTCACTGGTCAGCCCACTCACATCCCTGAAGCTGACATCATTGACTCCAAGCCAGTATTGGAGAAACTTCAAACTGGCAGTGAAGATGCTGAGTCTGTGGAGAGGATCGTGCAGACCGGCACAGCAATGGCAGGTGACAGACACAAAGAGGGTGAAGAACAGCAGGGTTTTGATGCTACATCACAAGAAAGACAGCCACTAGAACCAGTTGACATTGGCTTCACTCCTGGTGACATCTCCCAGCCCAGTCAGTCTGACTTATCCTCCAGTATGGAGGAGAGGGTGATGACCACAGAATCCCTCCCCACGCCCACACTGGACATCCAGTCGACTCAGGTGGAGGACCAGGCCGCTACAAAGACAGAGGAACAGAACCTGAAACAAACAGTGATAGATGGCACCACAATCCCCTTGTATGATGACATGGAAGGAGACTTTGGACTCACAACTCCACAGGATCAGGGAACATCCTTTGTGAATGTGGCTGAGGTTTCCGCTTCAGAGTCCCACTACAAAGCAGATCTCACTGACCTGCCATTTGCTGAAGAACCTTCCGATTTCACATACACACAGGATGAAGAACCAAAGCAAAAGCAAGAAGAGAAGGAAGAAGAAAAGAAAGAAGAAAAAGAAGAAGAAAAGAAAGAAGAAAAGGAAGAAGAAAAGAAAGAAGAAAAAGAAGAAGAAAAGAAAGAAGAAAAAGAAGAAGAAAAAGAAGAAGAAAAGGAAGAAGAAAATGAGGACGAAAAGACCACTGTGGCTGACCCTGAGAAAGTTGACATATTAGTCAATGATACCCAGAATACAAAGGAACCTGCCCTCCACATTGAACCTACTGCTGATCAGATGTACCATAGTGATGACTTCCTGTCACGCAAACCTCTCTCTGTGGGTCAAGGTCATCCCTCTTCAAATCAAGGTCACGGTAAACCAGAAGAAGCCAAGCCACCGGTTGAACCATCTCAAGCTAATGAAATCCCTATATCAACTTTAGCATACGACATCACTACACCTCCATCAGATATTGGGGAAATTCCACCTCCACTCTCTGAAGCTAGAAGGTTGCCAAACGATCAGGACCAAGGAGGTCCCCCAGTAGAAGATCCCTACCAGACAGGTTCTCACAACAGCCGACAATTCTCCGAGGACCACTTGGAGGAGGAAACCGTAGCTGGAGGAGGAGGTCTGATGGCAAGTTTGGAGTCCAGCATGAAGGCTATCATTGTAAAGGTAGGACATTTAGAAGGGTGCCCTTCAACATGACAACATTTTATTGAAGGACAGATGAGTTTCTTTTTATTACAGGTGTTGGGTTAGCCTCGGTTAGAGCAGTTATCACGTGAAAGACCTGGCCTAGATCGATGGGTTGCCGTAAAAGGCGACTATGCTTCTCCTAATAGGCGACTAACTTGATCATGGGGTTAGTCTTGCGGACTTGGTTGATGCTTGTCATCGTATCTCAATTGTGTAGATCAATGCTCTTGATGTCAGTCACTTGATTGTCCGGTCCAGGCCAAATTATTTACAGACTGCTTTCATACAGCTGGAATGTTGCTGAATGCAAGTTGAATAGCAAACAACATACAATATAAAACCCAGCTCACTCTGCTATATTTCATCAACCTTAGCAAGCTGTTACAATATGAGACCTGTGAAGATCCGGGGTAGAATAGGTTTTCAGCAACCCATGCTTGGCGTAAGAGGCGACTGATCAGATCGGATGGTCAGGCTTGCTGACTTGGTTGATGCATGTCACCGATCCTAATTGCGTGGATTGACGCTCATGATGTCAATCACTGGATTGTCTGGACCAGATTCGATTATTTAAAGACCGCCTTCATTTAGCTTGAATATTGCTGAGTGCGGCGATAAACAACAAACAAACAAACAAAATGTTACAATATGAGCAACCCTTCCACATTGTTTGTGGTAAGCTGATACAGCATATTTGTTTCACCACATTTATTATCATTTGTTAAGAGATAGTGTCCACTTCATCAGTCCTAGTTGAGAGAGAGATGTGATGAGATGGTGTTCTGTTCCAGCTGCCCCCATCAGTGCAGTCCCTCCTGGAGCAAGAACCCCTGGGGCTGTCGCCAACACTCTTTGTTCTGGTTACCATAGCAGCAATGATATCCCTTGTCATCATCACAGTGTGTGGCTGTGTCTGTGGGGTGAGTGGTGTAGCACTGATAGATACTAACAGTTTCACTCCGCTAGTCCTGATCATGATAACATAAAGCAAAACCCTTTCTACTAGTCCTTAAGGGGTGGTCGGGTAGCCTAGTGGTTAAAGCGTTCGCTCGTCACGTCGAAGACCCGGGTTCAATTCCCGACATGGGTACAATGTGTGAAGCCCATTTCTGGTGTCCCCCGCCATGATATTGCTGGAATATTGCTAAAAGCGGCGTAAAACCATACTCACTCCCTCACTCACTCACTACTAGTCCTTAGGATATCTTAACTATTTGGCAGTTTTGCAAGGACTAGAGGACGAGTGCCAATTTCTAATGCAGGTGTAGTGCACAATATGCAGAATAGTTCATGCTTATGCAAATATCCTTCACTGGTCCTTCATTGTTATGCACCATATGCCATGTGTATGTTTGCTTTAAAGATTTTGTATTATGCTGAGTTACTGTTAGAATGTGATTATTTGATGAAACCTTTGTAAATATGTTACAATACATTCTTTCAGGGGGGCCAGAAAGTGACTAGGAAGGATCCTCTTGGTAAGTTCTCAGTTAATTTGAACCCCTTGGGGAATCTGGGTTGGAAGAGTCCAGAGTCTGGGATGGAATAGGTCTGAACCGTGAAGATTCCGGGGTAGAATAGGTCTTCAGCAACCCATGCTTGCCGTAAAAGTTGACTACGCTTGTCGTAAAAGGCGACTAACGGGATCGGGTGGTCAAGCTCGCTGACTTGGTTGATGCATGTCATCGATTCCAATTGTGTGGATCGATCCTCATGATGTCAATCACTGGATTGTCTGGTCCAGATTCGATTATTTTACAGACCGCCGTCATATAGCTGGAATATTGCTGAGTGCGGCGTTAAACAACCAACAAACAAAAATTTAAAAAAATGGAATAGGTCCCCAGCAATCTATGCTGGCCATAAGAGGTGACTATATGGATTGGGCAGACAAACAATCATAGTGAATTTGAGATGTGTAAGTTTGTAATGGATGTGGTATACAGGAGAAGATAATAATAAGCGACCTTTTGCACATTTGTTTCCATTGTTGTAATGTTGGCCACTGATCTGACAGTGTTGTGACATTCCAGTGGTTGTGCGTGAGATTGAGGAGAAGCTGTTCATTGCTACCAAGGAGAAGGAGAACCTGGAGGACCAACTGCAGCTCACACAGAAGGAGGTGAGGGGTGGTGGTAGTGTGAGTGGGTGGATGTTGCCAGATGTTTGAGTGAGTGAGTGAGTGGAAGTTGCAGCTCACACCGGAGATAAGGAGTGACAGATGTGTGTCAGTGGGAAGACTGGGGCTGCTTCTCCTTTTCATCTTCCAGGAGGGGCGGTCGGGTAGCCTAGTGGTTAAAGCGTTCCCTCGTCACGCCGAAGACCCGGGTTCGATTCCCGACATGGGTACAATGTGTGAAGCCCATTTCTGGTGTCCCCCGCCGTGATAGTGCTGGAATATTGCTAAAAGCGGCGTTAAACCGTACTCACTCACTCACTCACTCATCTTCCAGGAAATGTTTAAATAGGTAATATCATGGCATAGTTTAATTTCCAGAAAAAACACCTAGAAGAGCAGCTGATGTCTGAGGAGACTACATCAGGCGGCGTGCAGACTGAACTACAGAATGTCAAGGTATGGCACTCTCACACTGCATGGGGCAGAGTTTTTGAGGCTGAAGTATGTGTAGTTATCAGATAATTTGAACTTTGCAAGTCATAACTTTCTTACACACCTGTGGGTGAGAAACCTATTTGAGATAATTAGTATCAAACATATGTGTGAGATTGAATTCCAGGCCCGTGATTGGCTACTCCATAGTGATGACCTGAGGTCAGATTATGACAGACGACTTTCCTGATTGTAACTCATTGATAAGTGTCCCACGTTTCAATCAAGTTAACTATGTATGTGTCAAAACTTTGAAAAATGTTCTTTGATCTTATCTAGTTTGCATTATCATCATCACCTTGATAATACACAGATATTGGTGGAGGGTCTCACGAGGCATGAGTTGTTAGCAGTAAGCCCCATGACATCATTCATGACTGTTGTGATATGTATGAGTGCACCACTGCAACAATGAATCAGAATATGAACCGATTTAATGCTAAGATGGTGCGATAGGACTCTCTTGTGTCACATTCATTGAAGCAATACATAACTTTCCTGCCTTCCTAGAGGAGGTTTATTCAATTATCATAATTGTATAGCACAAATACCATGGATAGTAACCATGTTGGGAAGATATCTGTGAAGGGGGCATGTTGGTAAAGTATCTATGAAGGGGGCATGTTGGTAAAGTTTCTATGAAGGGGGCATGTTTGGAAGATATCTATGAAGGGGGCATGTTGGTAAAGTATCTATGAAGGGGGCATGTTGGTAAAGTTTCTATGAAGGGGGCATGTTTGGAAGATATCTATGAAGGGGGCATGTTGGTAAAGTATCTATGAAGGGGGCATGTTGGTAAAGTTTCTATGAAGGGGGCATGTTTGGAAGATATCTATGAAGGGGGCATGTTGGTAAAGTATCTATGAAGGGGGCATGTTGGGAAGATATCTATGAAGGGGGCATGTTGGTAAAGTATCTATGAAGGGGGCATGTTGGTAAAGTATCTATGAAGGGGGCATGTTGGTAAAGTATCTATGAAGGGGGCATGTTGGTAAAGTTTCTATGAAGGGGGCATGTTGGTAAAGTTTCTATGAAGGGGGCATGTTGGTAAAGTATCTATGAAGGGGGCATGTTTGGAAGATATCTATGAAGGGGGCATGTTGGTAAAGTATCTATGAAGGGGGCATGTTGGGAAGATATCTATGAAGGGGGCATGTTGGTAAAGTATCTATGAAGGGGGCATGTTGGGAAGATATCTATGAAGGGGGCATGTTGGTAAAGTATCTATGAAGGGGGCATGTTGGTAAAGTTTCTATGAAGGGGGCATGTTGGTAAAGTATCTATGAAGGGGGCATGTTGGGAAGATATCTATGAAGGGGGCATGTTGGTAAAGTATCTATGAAGGGGGCATGTTGGGAAGATATCTATGAAGGGGGCATGTTGGTAAAGTATCTATGAAGGGGGCATGTTGGTAAAGTTTCTATGAAGGGGGCATGTTGGTAAAGTTTCTATGAAGGGGGCATGTTGGTAAAGTTTCTATGAAGGGGGCATGTTTGGAAGATATCTATGAAGGGGGCATGTTGGTAAAGTATCTATGAAGGGGGCATGTTGGGAAGATATCTATGAAGGGGGCATGTTGGTAAAGCATTTATGAAGGGGGCATGTTGGTAAAGTATCTATGAAGGGGGCATGTTGGTAAAGCATTTATGAAGGGAGCATGTGGAGTAGATATCTATGAAGGGGGCATGTGGAGTAGATATCTATGAAGGGGGCATGTTGGTAAAGCATCTATGATGGGGGTAAGTGGAGTAGATATCTATGAAGGGGACAGTGTGATGAAGAATGTTTTCACTGTCTCAGCTCCACAACGAGGCTCTGAAGACGCAGGTGATGAGGTTGGAGGAACAGATGGATGACGTCACAAGTCAGCTCTCCTCGACCAAGGGGGACACTCAGTCCAAGGACAAGCAGGTCAGAGCAGTGTCGTACTGTAATACCATCCCGTGGTCATTCTGCAGTAGTATAGGTCCCCATCAATACCGGACGTAAGAGCTGGTCAGTTACTTGGTTGATTGCGTGCCATTGCACCCTCACGATGTGGATTATTGCTCATTATATCAATCACTGGATTACATAGCCTGGACGTGATTATCTACAGGTTATTGTCATGTGGCAGGAATATTGCTCAGTGAGGGGTCGAACCATAAATACAAAAAACAGTAATACGAGATTAATAAGAGATTATAAGATCTTGACAATTTTACAAATCAGTTTACAAATATCTTTGTACTATTTATGTATGAGGGCACAAGATTGAGATATCAGTGATGTAACTTATCTAAAGAATTTTCAAGGGTTCATGTTCCATAACTCTGGGTTGGAATGCAGTATATTTCATGAATTTATTTTCCTTACTACAGTAAACCATAATTATAATGAACTCCAAGGGACAGAATGTGTTACTCGCATGAATTTTTTATTACAATTTATGAGTAAGGAGTCAGGACTTTTGTAATAGTTCGTAAAAATTGTTTGTATGTTACATCAGTGTTTTTTATGACCCACTTCTACTGTATGTAATTTTAAATTTTTGTGTCGTATTTAGGTTAAAGACTTACATAAACAGATTTCCAAATTAGACGAAAAGAGCAAGAAGGCAGAGGAACAGTTACAGAAGGTAAGTGCAATGTCTGTCTTGTGAGAAAAGTTGTTGTTGGTCAGTGCACACCAGGATCACCACAGCAGAAGTGGATTCGTTTGTTTCTAAATCAGACAAGGGTATACCCAGGTGTTTACATAATATAAAGGTGGGGGGAGGTGAGGATTATGTCATTGTGTTCAATGTTATTTTGGAAAACAGACAGACAGACAGACAGACAGAACATCTGAATGTGAACCCCATGTAACAGGCATATTTGACATGTTTCTGTCTTCTGGTGGTCACAGGGGCGGTCGGGTAGCCTTGTGATTAAAGCGTTCACTCGTCACGCCGAAGACCCGGGTTTGATTCCCGACATGGGTACAATGTGTGAAGCCAATTTCTGGTGTCCCCCCGCCGTGAATTTTGCTGGAATATTGCTAAAAGCGGTGTAAAACCATTCTCACTCACTCACTCTGGTGGTCACAGAAAACCAAGGAACTGAAGGACACCGCGGAAGACATGGGCACGCTGAAGGGACAGATCAAGAGCATCTCGGAGCAGGTGAAACAGCTGGAGACGAGGAAGCAACAGCTGCTCTCGGAGGCGGATGACTGGAAGGAAAAGTACGTTCTCACATCAAGATTTTTGTGTATTAAGACCACCTGTTTGCGGTGGTTTTCTTTCAAAGTCTTGGTCCCTTGGTGATTTTGAGGACTGTTTGTTTTTCCTCTCATCGAGATTGTTTACTTATGTCAATAATGTCAACCGATGATTATGTGTAGTGTTCATGATTTTGAGGAGAGGTTGATTACTTCACACAAATAGTCCTATGTATGCAGACATTTTTGCTGCATTCTGTCAATACGTTTGGATGGATTCAGAGGGCAATTGATCAGTCTTTGTTAGTAGCATATATCAACTTTAATGTGAAACCTCAATGTCTGCAGGGTGGAGGATCTGAATGAGAGACTTTGTCAGAACGAGGAAGAGTTCAAGCAGATGCAGGAGACGGTCGCCTTCAAGGACAACGAGATGGAGGTGGGTGTGGCAGGGCTTATTTTCACCCGATTATCTAACTGCCAGAACAGCGGGGTAGTCCAGTCTGACAAGCTAGACAGGTCATCCATGTGTGTGACTACAGCTCAGTTAACTTACAATAGGCATCATGCTAAGATCGTTCTGTTGAATTAACCCCTGTCCTTGTTAAACAATGTTGTCTTTGTGCTGAGACTGAGACAGTGTTAAAGAATGTGAGTTTTTAAAATAGCTTTGTTGATTAGCCCATGATAAGTACTTGTGAATATCAGAAATGGCACGTGGTCCTGTGCACAGCGCACAGGTCACGACATCGGTTGCGGAGAGTCGTTGGATGGGTGACTGTGTTGGCTTGGCTCCTGAGAGTTTCTAGGGCTTTGGTCCTGCCCCACACTGAAGCACATGTAACACATGTTGTGTCTCCTTGGGCAGGTGACTTTGTTCGAAATGTGCCTCTGTTTACCCAGCAGTGAATGGGTACTCGGTAGGATGAGATGGCTATGTGGTTGTTAACCATCTAGCTTCTGACAAGCAGCTTGGGTTGTATACTCCCCAGGGAGCTGAGAATGATTCTTGAGTGCACACTGATCGAGTGACCGGGTAATAATAGGGCTTTGAGCATGCCCGAGTGGCGTGGAAATATGCGGGATACAAATGTCCTATTATTATTGTAATTATTATGGATTGCCTATGGCAAATGTGACATGTGGTGATGTATTCCATTACATATGTGGTACATGTCCTACACACAGGCTGTGTGTTGCAGGTTCTGAAGGACTGTTTCCGCCAGCTGAAGGTCCTGGAGGGAGATGACGGGGATGAAGGTAACAGCCAGACAATTTTGTTTCCTGATCTGTGCATGACGTCTTTCATGCATCCAGTCCAACATTGCCAATCTGCATTACTTTCAACTGATTTAACTCTATTTTTACAAGAGTTTGTTTGAGGTTCATATTTAGGACTGATTATTTTTGGTTCAAACCCCAGACCTTCCGCTTTCCGGGCGGTTGCTCTACTACTGGACCACGGAGGTATTACTTATACTTTATTTGACACTCCTGCATGACATCAGTTTATTATTTGTTTTAGGTGTCTTTTTCAGATTCTTTTGGTTAATATATACCGACAGACAGCAGACACAATAAAAAATAATATCCATCTCATTGACATCAGATCCTTTACTCCAATATGATGCCTCACTGCATGAAGTTCTGAGGACACCTCTGTGTCAGGTGATCTTTTTAATCGGCCAATCAGTGTTGAGACTTCTCAATTCTTCATGCGAGAAAGTGAAGCATTCTGACCTGCATGTCTGATTTCAGGTTCTCGAAAATTGAACTTTTACCACCTTTTCTGAATGTACATAATACAGGCCGTGCAGTTATTTTGTTGTGGATAAGTCATACATCCTGTTATTTGATTGAACTATATGGCTTCTACATCCACAAGGGAGTACCATTGAAAGACTAATTGTGTTGTGTGTGTGTTTTCTTTTGTTAAAGTTGAAATCTCCAAATCGAGGTGATAAAGAAATGAAGCTGACCTTTGACTGCCTAAAATAAATGAAGGATGGAAGGGTTTTGAAATGGATTAAACTAGACTTATGATGAAGTAGAATACTATTTTGTATGGCACTGAACTACTTTGTACATGTGATGGTATATGTGTAGGTCAAGGTCGGAGGTCAGAGGCCCTTGAGTATTTACAGAGATTAATCTATTTACAAAGCTGACATCTGATTGGCTTAAAAACCCTTCCATCCTTCATTTATTTTAGGCGGTCAAAGGTCAATCAGGGTTCACCTGACGTGACCTTCTCTGGAGGTATCCTCAGATCTTTATGCTAAGAGGCATAGTACTGGAGTAAAAGATTGAAAAATATGAAATAAGGCTAAATTCCTAAAATATACCTTTTTGACATAATCTTCTTACAAAAAATAAAAACAAACATAATTTTAGGTTGAAACAAACTTAGTTGGAATATTTTAGGTTATTATATAAAAGGAAAAATGAATTTGTACATGTGATGGTATATGTGTAGGTCAAGGTCGGAGGTCGGAGGTCAGAGGCCCTTGAGTATTTACAGAGATTAAAGGGATGCTGAACTATTTGGCTAAGGAGTTGCTTGTTCGCCTCCCTGTGTTCAGAAAGTTGTTTTCCAAGAACCAATTGTTTTTAATTCTTTGGCATACATAACAATCACATGTCTTATGTATGCTACATCAGATGCAATGATGATGTAGACCACAAGATCTGTGCTATGTGTTGCATGTGTACACTGACAGCCTACACTGTTTCAGTGGACCAGACTCAGGTGGAGGAGAAGATCCAGAAGATGATGGATGTCTCGAGAGTAAGCAGAGTTCTAGTTTCAGAAAATAGACTTTGTTCATTTGTTGATTTTCCACTTCAATCGGTATAGCTGCCATTTAACAACTCTCTGTTCAGCTTCAGAGGGAGCAGTCGATCGGTCAGAAGAAAATATATAAAAAACATAAAAATAATTTAGCTGATACCACTGATCAGATTTCTGTTGTGTGAGATATGTGCAAGAGTGGTTGTAGTAATGGTGTTGAAAGCTTTGATGATGGAAAAAATTGAGAATGAAGATGAAGAGAGAAAAGTTACTTCCTTTCTTTAAATATACTCACACTAGAATATAGCACTGTCTTTTGATGAAATGTGGAAGGATTTTTGTTCAAGCTAGTGAATAACATTTGTTATGATGGTAATTTGGAACGGCATGCGATGACAGTCACTGTGGGTCACGTTAAATATATGACTTGTTCTCCTGTAAGGTAAATGCATCCCTCCGGGCGATACAAGACGAGCATGATTCCTTGGAGAACAGACTGCAGATAGAGACGGACGGAAGGAAGGAAGTGGAAGGTACTGACTACACTATGTCTTCTGGATTGTATAGCACCATGGCAGCATTGATCACACCACTGTCAACCACTTGTTTCCTTGCTTGCTCTAGTTGTTGTACCTCTGGCTTGTGACCCGCTATACATTCTCACTTATATATGTGCTACATAAAATTCATTCAGCTTCTGTCTGGCATGAAAACTCTTTTCACAACTTGTCTCGCCAGTGCACATTAGAACTTGTAACCAGATGGAGGCAGCATTTGTTCGTGCTCACAGGCATATTATGTAATTGCTGTATTCTGTAAATGGCCATCAGTAGTACTAACACAAAGATCGGGGGCACGGGTGGCCCAGTCGTCGCGATTCGCTGTGCAGAGTTGCATCCCTTGGGCACGCCAGAAACCTATGATTAAGGGTTCGAATCCCGGTTCGCCCCAATTATGTTTCTAGGTTTGTCAGCACCATACCAGTGCTCGTGGGTTTCACCAAAGTGGTAAACGTCTGAGACCTGCATCACTTCGGGCTTTCCTCCCACATTAAGCTGACACGCCGCGATATAACTGGAATACTGTTAAAAGCGGCGTTAAACCAAACTCACTCACTCACTAACACAAAGATCAGTTGACATCGACTGTCTCTGTTGATGTTTGGCAGATGAAATAGTTAACTAAACCATATTGCCATATTATATGATATTAAGCACCTTGATCGAATAAGTTCCCCCTAGCCAAATTCTAGACCAATCTGTAAGCAGTCTTATAAGCACCTCCTACTTGACTTTCCAGATTTTCTTGTTCATATTACAGGAAACAGTGGTGTAGAAGTTATAAAGAAAATGTTAGCTTTATCAGTGTTTGTTCGTTACCACTCGATCTCTGAAAACAAATTTAACTTGTTGTGTAAGATTGTAATAAGTGCCCCTTTGTCAGTTGTCTAAGCACCAAGGGAGCTTATTGAGGCTCTAACTATAGTAAGTCCATCTTAAAGTTTTGCCGCAGTTGTGTCACTAAGACTGCGTTGTGTACAAATCATCAGTGTCATGAAGACAAGTGGAGATGTGTTAACACAGTGCAGTAGATATTGATGGAAACGGTGAAGGTGAATTTCCTGTTTTCAGACCAGCTGGAGAAGTGTCGGCGCGACATGGAGATCCTGCAGACAGACAAGATGAAGGCTGACCGCCAGTGCTCAGAGGCTCAGACCAAACTGAACGTGTTGTCCAACTACTTCAAGGAGAAGGAGACCCAGCTACAGAGGTGAGGGGAGGAGGAGCGAGTGGGGGAGTAGAGTGGGGGAAGAACTGGAGTGAGGTTGGAGATGGAGGGGGGAAGAGGAGCTGGAGTGGGTGAGGAGGTGGAGTGGGGGAGAAGGTTGGGTTTGGGGGGACGGGGAGCAGAGAGAAAATAGAGTGGGGGAGAAGGTGGGGTTAGGTGGATGGGGAGATGGATGAGGGACTTTGTCGGGCCATACATTCTGTGATTTACTCCTGGACTATTTCAATAATTTCTCAGTATTGTGTTTGTCATATTTATGTCTGGCATAAAATTCTTTTGATTAGATTCCAGTTGTTTAACAGAATCAGTTTATGGTGAATCACGCCTCCTGTTGTATAACCAGTTTCTGCTGCTTCTCCCTGACAGAGAGCTTGGTGAGCATGAGGCACTGAAGAAGCAGAATGTCAACAAGCTGGAGAACATCGATGAACGCGCCCGTCTGATGGAGGAGGAGGTCGAGATGTACAAGTGAGTCACAACATCGTTGTCCTGTCTGCACTGCAGGGGTGGTCAGGTAGCCTAGTGGTTAAAGCGTTCGCCATGCTGAAGACTCGGGTTCGATTCCCGACATGGGTACAATGTGTGAAGCCCATTTCTGGTGTCCCCCATCGTGATATTGCTGGAATATTTCTAAAAGTGGCGTAAAACCATACTCACTCACTCACTCACTCACTGTCTGTACTGCTGAGTCTGGGGTCATTCTTGGCCAGATCGGTCGACAGTAACACCCCCCTGGCAATTCTGGGACAGAATAAGTCCCCAGTAGCCATGATTCGCCAAAGAGTTGACTGATGAGGATTGGATGGTTGTTATGTATGATCAGGCTGATTACGTTTTGTCCTACTCCACCGGCATGGGTTATTGCTCATGCTATCAATCACTGGTTTGACTACCCCGACACATTAATGACACAGCTGGAATATTTTTAGCTGCAAAAACATTTACTCACTCATCCGCTCAATTTCACATGGTTGTCAAGGTGACTGAAATGGAGATTGTGTCGCTGAAATGGCCTGTTGATAGTGCTTGGATATGGTGTCTACTATGATCTTGGCTCATGACACAATGAATCTTGGATGTGATGTTAAATCCCATTTCACCTCACTTCACCACCTCATGACACAATGTGGGGTGGGGGGATGGGTGTCCCATTCGTCTAAGGCGCTGCGATTCGCTGTGCAGAGTTATGTCCCCTGGGCACGCCAGAAACCTATGATTGTGGGTTCGAATCTCGGTTCGCCCCGATTATGTTTCTAGGTTTGTCAGCACCATACCTGTGCTTGTGGGTTTCACCGAAGTGGTAAACGTCCGAGACCTGCATCACTTCAGGCTTTCCTCGCATGCCGCGATATGACTGTTAAAAGCGGCGTTAAACCCAACTCACTCATTCACACATGACACAATGGCGACATGTTTTATCATTTCAGAGCACAGGCTGAAGGTTTGAAGAGGGAGCTGACGTCCTCGGAGAGAGACTTCAGGCAACAGGTAATCTTTATCGTGACTCAAGAACACTTAGAAGTTACCAACATTTTCTTACAGTGGATGACAACATCTGTTTCCATAACAACTGAACCACAACTTTGGGAAAATTAGGATCAGTGGAAAAGATATGTCGTTGTCCAGCACGGATGAAATGAAATGTATAATATGTAGAGTATTCTTGGCGTTCTTGAAGCTTCTACGAGATATTCTCTATTTATATACCCACTTTAGAGTCATTGACCAAGTCAGATGATTGTAATTGTCATATTGATAATATTGTAAAACCATACATGATTGAGACTTTACAACAAATGGGACTTGGTACACAGTAATATATTACTTAAGGCTTTAAAAAATAAAAGAATTGGTTCTCAGGCAAAGGTTTTTGAATATATAGTGCGGGCAGGCAGTGTCTTTTTTTTCCCTTTTTTTTTGGTTCGAACTAGTATGTACCCCGTAATCAAATAAACAGTTCTGTCTCATCAACCTGGGAAGGGCCTCCCTATGTAAATGTTTTCCTTGATGAGTAAAATACTGGAATACAGTATTTGACTACTGTTGGACTTGGAATATTTAAGGATTTTTTTGTTTTTAAAAAAATGGAAATAAAAAAACGAAACGTGCGACGAACTCTATGATGATGCGGATGGTGCTGGAGAACCAAGATTAATATTTTTTTAGCCTTAGTCATGAGTCTGTGTTTAAGTAAAATTGTTAGTACTATGGAAACACTGTGATGGAGTTTAGAGTCCAAATATTCAACACAAACATTTATCATTCAGACTAGTGTGATGCCAGATGCATGCATGGTAAACAAGGAAATTTCAATAACAATCACCAATATGTAATATGTAAATATCTAATTTCAGATTTCTGCGAATGAGAAAAAGGCTCATGAAAACTGGGTATGTTTTTTGTTTTTCTGCATGTACAGTATAAAGCTTGTCTTGAAGGTAGCCAAAAGTTGGTCTAAGTAACATGTACATATGATAGTACAGATACAATTCTGGTGACTGTTGAATGTTTGATGTGTACAATTCTGGTGACTGTTGAATGTTTGATGTGTACAATTCTGGTGACTGTTGAATGTTTGATGTGTACAGTTCTGGTGACTGTTGAATGTTTGATGTATACAATTCTATTGACTGTTGAATGTTTGATGTATACAATTCTGGTGACTGTTGAATGTTTGATGTGTACAGTTCTGGTCACTGATCTTTGTTTGACATTATTTCCAGCTTGCGGCCCGAGCTGCAGAGAGAGAGCTGAAGGAGGTCCGCCATGATGCCGGGGTGTTACGTCAGAAGTGAGTACACAGCTACACATGTCCTGTAGTGGAGCAGTGTCACTGCAGTGTTACAAGGTGTGTGTGAGCCTATCTGCCCTGAGCTGCCAGGTTCATCACACCATAGACCGCCTCCGTGGTCTAGTGGTAGAGCGTCCGCCCGGAGAGCGGAAGGTCCGGGGTTTGATCCCCGGCTGCGTCATACCAAAAGTCGTTAAACGATGGTGCTTGTTGTTACCCTGTATGGCGCTCGGCATTAAGGGGCTAAAACAAGGACTGGTCGGCTCGAAGTCAGTATACTGTGTCTGAGTGGGGTATTTATGTTAAACTGCGTCATGGTATCTTAGTGAGCTAGCACTATAAATCGGCATCAGTCCGATCTAGTACAAGCAGCCACACAAACACATACACGTACATGCACGTCGCTATATAAGTGCAATAATATTGGACCCTATGTTAAACCCAATTTCACCTCACCTCATCACACCATATACTCCACCAGATTGGTTGACAACAAATTTACCTCACCGACATTCATTCATTCAGACCCGGAATATATGTCCGAAGTTTCACAGAGTCTAATGCACTGATTCAGCCATTTTGACAGCTAGCAGACGATGCAAACGAACCTAGTTACTTTCCTTGAGTTACATCTGTCCTTTTCAGCTCAACCATACATATGTGAGATAAGCAAGTTATGTAAGGTGTGTTACAATTGATTTCTCAGCAGGCTACATGGAAAATAATTGCCCTTTCCTTCACCAATCAGAAGCTAGCATTTTGATGTATGGAGAGATAAATATATTTATTACAATGTGGATGGTGAAAATAATAAACCTAGGTCACATGATTATATTCTGGCCTGTCAAAAACATGGAAAAAAACTGGAATTCGAAAATGAAAATGTAACTTCCAGATGAGTGACGAGTGCCCAGTGGTGTAAGGCACTGCAATTCAAATGTGCAGAGTTATGTCCCTTAGCTTCCAGGCCTGGATCTGCAGGTCGAGGGTTTGAATGTTAGGCCAGGCAGCACCATACCTGTGGGTTTCACCCACATTTAGCTGACATCCTTAAGTACCTGATATGTTTGTCAAAGCAGCAGTAACAGTAATTTGCTCAGCACTTGCAGAGGATGGTTACTGTGATGTGGATGTTGCAGGTTGACGGAGCTGGAGCGGCGGCAGATGATGGGCCCAGGAGGTTTGATCCGCCCCCTGCCGACACGAGGCATGCCACCCCCAGGTAAGAACTGCAGCTTTACTGTGCTCAGTGCGATGTGCAAAGAGATCTTTGCGCTAAGGTGATCGTAACTCCCATACCTTAACGTATACTTACGACAGTCGTAGTGCTAAGGTTGTTTTGTGCAACGGCACCCTGGAATATACTCACACTTGATGAATATGGCAGAAAATATATTGTAATTGTTTTGTCAATTTTGATGTTGCCCATTATATTAATAACAGATTTGTGTGGTTCAGAATCGATTATTTACAGGCTTCGGTGATATAGTTGAATATTGCTGTTAAACAACAAACCTATATAAAAATTCAGAATTAGTTCTTCAGAATATTACTTCAGCTAGTGGAAGGGTGGTAACACTGACATGTTGGTTTCAGGAATGATGAATGGCCCCCCTCCCCCTCCCGGCATGGAGCGATCCCCCTCAAGAGGATCTATGCCCCCTCCTCACCTCCGGTGAGTAATGAACAGTGGGGCCACACTCCCCAAACTGTGCTTGCATTTGCGTATTTAACATGGACTAATAACCTACCAGAAATTATTGTGAATGTCCTCAGAAGGGCCTTTTAACAGCCAGTAAGGAGTTCTATGAAACACCAGGGCCCCTAGAATGGCAAGTCACATCTTACAAATATATACCGTATATGTCCGCAGATAAGCTGAATTTTGAGGACCAGAAAAAAGATTCTGTAGAAAGGGGTCGGCTTATCCATGGGATACACTTTCATGATAGGATTATTCAGATCATGATCTGTCAGAAACATCGCCTGAATGACGGTCCGATAGATTACAACTTCCCGAAAGTTTGGAAGTTGCCACGACTAGAGCCATTATTGTTATAAATTATCTATAAAGTTATTATTATACACCAATGTTGTCATTATTAAAAAAATGTTATGCATGTTACTACTTCCGATAATAAGTTTTCAATTCAATGTTCAAAGTTTATCGTTCTTCATAAACTCCACAATCTTTACATGTAACAATATATGTAATCCACAGCTATAATATATAATCCACAGATGAAATCGCCAATAGCTATTACGTACGTTTTACATGAGCATTAATTATGGAACCCAAACTTGTCAACATGTATGAATGTACTGCTGCCAAGCGAGAGCTGGAGGCTCTCCAGTTCAAACCTGAATGAACTGACCCAGGCACTGCACCAGGAATGGCAGAGAATCTCAATGTTGAAAGTCAGACGACTCATCAGCAGCATAAGGAGACACCACGCTAATGTCTTTTCAGTGTTGTTGGAATGAAAGTTTTCAGGCATAAAGCCAATAAATGAGTACCGATTGCTCGTGCCCAGCTTCATCATTTGTGTGATGGTGGTGCCAGACATTCTCTTTCTCAGATTAGTAATCTTTTGTTGTGTTTACCAGTCATTCTTTTAATGAAGGGCGGCCGGGTAGCCTAGTGGTTAAAGCTTTCGCTCGTCACGCCGAAGACCCGGTTTCGATTCCCGACATGGGTACAATGTGTGAAGCCGATTTCTGGTGTCCCCTGCCGTGATATTGCTGGAATATTGCTAAAAGCGGCGTAAAACCATACTCACTCACTCTTTTAATGAAGCACATATCTGACAAAGTGGATGGTGCCTAATTAATGCTCATGTGTACAGATATGTGAATCAGGCATTCAGGCTAAAAAGCTGCATGGGAATATTTCTTTATCAGGAACATTCAAGCATAAAATGTGTTGTTTTTTTCTCAGGCAAGTGAATCAACAAAAACATCTTATTCTATTCAGCAATAAACTTGTTGAAAAATTTGACTTTCAGAGACGATGACTTCCGTGGATCTCCTCATGACAGACTCCCTCCCCCTCCAGACCGACGCCCTCCTCCTCCAGGGGCCAGGTTACCCCCCCACATGCCCCCAGATGGCAGATCTCCACCCCCTGGTCGGATGATGCAGGAAGGCAGGTCCCCACCCCCATTTGACCGACGCCCCCCTCACCCTATGGACAGGAGGACCCCTCCCTACAGGCCGCCACCCCCAGACATGATGCCTGGTCCTCGGGGCCCCCCACCTCCCTTTAGTCCAAATTCACCACCCCCAAGGATGCCTCCCCCTCATTTAATGGACCCAAGGATGGGTAAGTACCGTTCGTTTACTGATATATTTTTTTTTAGAAAATATGATCGCTGCTTAATATGTAACAGAACCTGGATTGTTGCTCACTCTATCAACCTTCGGTTTGTTTTGTCCAGGGGAGATGACTCTACAGGTTGTGATGATATTGCAGTAAGTTTGCTGACTAGCAGTATCATGGACCTATGGACTCTTATTGTATATTGCTTTAACCCATCAACAACAGGGGTGGAGGGGTAGTCTAGTGGTTAAGTTATTGAATTGCCATGTATTGACCTGAGTTTAGCTGTGCTGCTCCCTATAAATTATTTTGGTTTTGACGTTGTTCAATAGTGTTTTCCTAATAGATTCCTGACTCGGAACATACCGCGCTAACAACTCTGTCATAATGTACATGAGTCGTGGTTGAACGAAAACTGTAACACGATTTCCTTCCTAAAACACTCGCCTTCAAATTTGTGTACATACTTCTATTTTCAGTCATGCAACTTTCTATGTACTTTACAGGTTGGAATCATCAAGAGGGTATGGGTTGTTGCACAATATAAAATATATGTACTCATATTTGGAGGCAAGTGTCTTAGGAAGTGACTGATTTTACATTTGACATTAGATAATGATGCATGCACTCTTCCTGAAGCATATGAAGTGTGATGCAGATTTGGATCAGGGATCTATTTGGAAAACATTGTGGGACAGTCTAGCGACAAGTCAATATCCAAATCGTTTATAGGGAGCAGAACAGAGGACGGTTACTGCAGCAAACCTGGGTTCAGTTTATGACTTCGGGTATAGAGATTATCCAGTGTATTAAATATCTCCATTCTATTAGGAATCTCCGTGGTCTAGTAGTAGTATCCGCCCGAAGAGCGGAAGGTCCGGGGTTTGATCCCTGGTGCGTCATACCAAAAGATGTTAAAAGATGATACGTGTTGTTACCCTGCTTAGCGCTCGGCATTAAGGGGCTAAAACAAGGACTGGTCGGTTTGGAGTGAGTATACTGTGTCCGAGTAGGGTATCCATGTTAAACTGCAACATGGTATCTCAGTGGACCAGCACTATAAACTCGGCTTTAGTCCTGACTAGTACAAGCAGCCACACACACTCACACACACGTGTATGCATATCACTATATAGTGATCTTGAACGCAGTGTTAAACCCTATTTCACCTCACCCATAATAGAATGGAGATAACATATATGGGATAATCCTGTATTCTTTGTTATAGTATGCCTGGAATAATGTTGTAAGTCAACTGCAGTCATACAGAAGTAAGTTAATTGTCAGGTCTTGTACTCTTACTCTTTTTTATTTCAATGACATTTTCACTTTTTACCTTTCCTTATCCCTAGGCCCAAGAACATCATCTCCAAATGTACGCCCCCCACCCCCAGGCCGTGATGGCAGACCCCCAAGACAACACAGCCAAGTATGAAGACACACCCCTCCTGAGCAGACTGTCAGTCACCTGGAGTGGGCGGGCTCACTGCAATATGTTGTCCAATGTGTGAAAGGGAATGTGAATGAGTGACAGATCAGAGCTCCACGCAGGGCACGATGTTGAAGACAGTGCGCCTACTCACTGTTTCACTCATTTTAGAGTTGTTATTTGTTGATTTTCATTTTAATCACATAAATCGAATGGTGATTGTATTTCTCATCCTAAAGAATAATGAAAATTAATAGGATGACATTCTTTGAGGAAGAAAGGTTCTCTCAATTCAAGGAAATGAAAATTTCTGATCATGTTCATTGCAATGATTACCGGTCTCCCATCATGCTACTTTGTCACATTTACAAACTCAGCGGTTTTCTGAAAAAAATCTTAGTTGTTCTTTTATCTACATTTGTTTGTGGTAAAATGGTAGAATTTCTTCCAATTACCATAGAGTGGTCACTTAAGCTCATTTGAGTATTGAGAAAAGTCCATGTTTGTCATAGTGATTAAAAGCTTGAATAGATCTATGGAGTTTAAGATATGCATGACACTGACCTTAAGGAATTGGAGGAGGTAACAATGGTAACAGTTAAGTCTTTGATTGGCATTTAGAACGTGTAGTAGAACATGAACATGTGGAAACTCTTATGGATAACAACTTGTTTATTGTTTCTGGTGATGTTGGAGGGCTACCTTTTGATGCTTCATCACCTGTTGAACGAGCCCTGAACCTTAGAAACAACAAAGATTTTACTACCCTTCAATTGTTTCCGGTCTTAATGATGACAGTATTGCCAAGTGTACACATGTAATGGTCGTTTGTGTCATAGGCTGTTTAATAGTAATCTGATCGAAGAGGATACTAAGCTGTGGTGGAGCTTTCTCATCCTTATCGACATTTGTGAAAAGATGATGGATCAAAATAGAACTCGTATTTTGGAGTTTGACGACATCTATTTTCTTCATCACCAGTGTTGATGGTACAGTGTTGAGTTGAAATAAATGTAGGAGTAACTCGGTTTTTGATGGGAATTCTTGAAAGTAACACCTACAGTTGAAAGTGTGGCTGGAACGAGTCGAGGTTTACTACCCGGGTACATGCTGCAGGTCTCGAGAGATGAGTACAAAATGGCTGTTAGGGAATATTTGGACCATAGTCTTTGCAAAATGTATTTATATGCAGTATCAAACGATCTGGTCAGTCATACTCTGAAGTCGACTGAAGCTTTATCTTTATTCAAACAGAAAAGTCAAAAGGAATGTGTTCATGGTCAGAAAGAAATGAAACATTAGTAACTTGTAGTGTAACCATGGACTTCTAGAAAAGTTTTGTCATTAAACAGTATCTCACATGACTAACCACGGGTCCGGGGAGTTGGTACCCAGGTCCTTCTCAGTACCCACCCGACCCGAGTTACCTGTCCCAGCCAGTAGAAGGTTAGTTTGGTATGGGTGAGGGCAGCCTGGGGTGGAGATGGTTCACCAGCTGTGGGGAAGCCTCTGTATTCTGTATGATGTTGAGGTTCTACACAACTTCAAGTAGAGTTGTGTCAAGGTGATGTGGAGGAAAATACATATCTGAGAGAATTTTGAACACAGATTTTATGGGAAGCCATCAGACAGTAGTTATGTTGCTGACTGGAGAGATTTGAAAGAGAGATATTGTGCCATGTTTACAAGCCGAGGTGTACATTTTGCTGTGTACACTACAATGCCATATTGTATGATCAAAGCCAAAACACTGTTGATATAGGACGTTATTTATTCATTCCTGTATACTCCTGTTACAGTAGGCCTGGATGTCTCAGTGTAATATAGGTAGTGTGTTGATAGTTCAAATTACTGCCATGGGAAAATCAGTTGTCGCCTAGTCATTTCTTCTTGCAAATAATTGTCATGTATTCATACATTAGCCTTAAAGGTCCTGTGAAACACATACCCATTGTTCTGGTGCCATGGCTGTGTCGGCCTTGATTAGCAAGTGACTTTATCTCCATTCTATTATCATAAACATCCGGGCGGTGAGGTAGCTTTATGGTTAGCGCGTTTACTCGTCAAGCCGAAGACCTGGATTTGATTACCCACATGGGTACAATGTGTGAAGCCCATTTCTGGTGTCCCCCACCGTGATATTGCTGGAATATTGCTAAAAGCAGCATAAAACAATACTCACTCACTCATAAATAAATATCCTGGACTCGCTCGCCTCCAGAGGTTCATTTGAGTCAAAATATGACTCCATATAAATATATGGCCCTCTATCAAAATTACTCTCCTAAGGGAAATTCTGTGAAAAGTTTGTGATTAGAGATGGCGACAACACTTTCTATTTGTGCAACAAACAACATATATGTAGTACATGAAAAAAGAACCTTTTATTTATATACAAATGTTTGGCGTAAAATTGGGGCTGCCTCAGTTGCCTACTGCGAAAGCCTGGGATTGCAGTGACCTGGATGGTGTGAAAGCCTGGGGTCGCGGTGACCTGGATGGTGTGAAACCCTGGGGTCGTGGTGACCCGGGTAGAAGGAGTGAATGTCCTGGGGTCTTAGGGACCTGGACTTGTGTGTAAGTAAGTGGGAGGGATATACCGGTCCTGGGATCCGATGACCTGGACGATCGTTAGGGATGTGCTGGTCCTGGGTCGTGCTGACTGACGCTACCTGCTTAAGTAATGCTCTTTGGGGGCCACAAGCCTTTCATGCTCTGAGCGTGGAGTAGCTTGTGACGCTTAAAGGAGGTTGTGCATCAACCAAGAACCCCCAACACTTTCTAAGCATGGTGGCACGCTGTCCTTTGACTGAGGTAATAATGTCAGAGCTATGAGTATGCACCTTGTGTATGGAGTAGCACAATATAAGTGAGTGAGTGAATTTTGTTTTACATCGCTTTTAGCAATATTCCAGCAGTATCACGGCGGAGGACACCCGAAATGGGCTTCACACATTGTACACAATATAAGTGCACACATTGAACAAGTCTATGGTAATGAAGGGATCCAGGGTATTTATTGTAATAGCTCGAAGATATTATGCACTCAATCCTAGAGGATGTGACATTGAGTTAAGGGACATCCCGGAATGTTACCTCTGTTGACAGGTGTTAACTGTAAGAGGCTAATTGGGCCTACTTGTCAAATACTTCTCATGAGAGGCTTTCTGTAAACTGGTGCTATTAAACAGTGGTCAAAACTATCAGAATTAAGTAACAATGACACTCCTTTGCAGGAAACTAGATGAAATATTCTCACCACAAAAGAATATTTCAGAGTTGTAAATTTATTTTGTCATTGCTAGCAGTCTCCTTGTATAGTTCCATGCTGGTGGGGGCTTGACCATTATGGTGTGAAAATACAGTATTTGATTTTACCAATTATATGGATAATATTGAAACGTTCAGTGTGTGTTGTATTGTCACATAACTTAATAAACTTCTTTTTGATGTAAAGACTTTTCCGTTAATATATTGTAAATATTACTTGCGTATATTTTGTAAATATCAAAGGAGAGTTCCACGTTTATCATGTTCTGGTAGAAAGTCAACTGTGTCAGTGTCTTTGATGTTTTTATTTATCACATGTTTTATGTTTTGTGAGAAGAAAAAAGGGAAACATTATTTCCAAGGATTCACAATTTTTGTCTTTCACAAAAATGATATTTGATTTTTGAGAAGGGTATATAGTTGATTTATCATTAATCCTGTAATATACAGATGATTAAAAGTATTTTATTTTACAAATCTAAGGCACTTGTTACTTAGAGCACAGAAGCAAATATTTGCATCAGTCTGAAACAATGACGGGTCCAAAATAATAGAATCCTGAAAGAGTGATTTGTCTGTCAATAAAAACAACCTTAAAATCAAAAGTTAAGCAACCATTCAAGTCCTTTAGTGGGTGCTGCCTTCAAGAAACATACATATTATGTCAATATTCAAAAACAAGACCTACCACAGTTAGCGTAACATTGATATATTTATTTGGTTCCATCCTACTGCCACTAAGTGGCAGACATGTGTACCTCCGAAACAGTTAATTTCCTCCCTGTGTGATTTTCACAGAGCTACACACTTAATTATTTTTTATGTGCATTCTATGGAAAATCCAGATATTTGTTTGAGAAATATGATCAAATTGTCAAAATATTCATGTTAAAAATAAACAAAGGCAAAAATATCAATGAATGAATGCTCAGAATAATGGAAGAGGTTTTGGCAGTTTGTTGCAGATAGACAGATCTGTGGTTGCTTAACTATTGACCATCAGTATGCATGTTACAGAGCTCCAGATAAGCTGCGTATCTGCGTAAAATACGCATCATAAATGCAGAAATACGCGGTAAAATAAAATCCAAGCGTATTAAATACGCAACGATCATTACAGATACTCTACAAAAATAAAACTTGTGCGTATCATCAAAATATTGTGAAGTAACCCTGCGTATTCGATTAGCAAATCAGCAACTTATTTTGAAATTATAAACGGGCATTCCGTCAACCTTGCCAAACTCCACGATGACAGTTACATCATGACCATTTGCCATCACACTTTCTTGTGGAAGTATCGTGGTATTTTTGAGTCCTATAAAGCTCTCGAACCCCCGCGACACCAGTTTGCAGGGACTAGATGAATAGTGTTTTCAAATATTTAACTTAAATACCCACATATGTAAAAACTAGTGGGTAACAGAAATTTGAATACTCAGATAGAATTACTGATACCCAATGATTTTATAATGCATGGGTAAAATACCCACAACACCAAAAGCTTATCTGGAGCTCTGATGGTATATGTCACATCTCCGTCACTGCTGTTACCTGACCACTGACAGATCTGCATGTCAAGCCGTCTGCAAACAGTCTGTTGTTTGAACATTTAGTATCAGGTGATGGACAATGCTTTAAAATGACACTTTGCCTCTCGAGTAAAGGGTATATTATCTCTGTTCCAGGAAAAGGCTTAAGGGTTTGATTATGACTTAAGACATGTGATCTGCTGTAAACATCCTATTTTATATGTTTGACATTTCATCGTACAGAAAGCTACAATATCTTATTAAGAGATCTCTGTTTCAATAAATGAAGCTACTTTCTTTTAGATCGGAAATGATGATTACCAAGTAACCTTAATTTTGCATGTAAATTTAATACCTGATTCCCAATAAATACATTTTTGACAAATGAGTATGAGAAAAAAAACACCTAAAAATTATGTTTTTTTGCATGGAAGTCCAAAAATGAAAATCCTGTTAATCACACGTATTGCTTTGGTTTTGCACTTAAATAAGACTTAGTTGATGATAAATTGCAACTGTGTCAAAAAGATGAAATGCCATGTTATGTGCAAATTGATATAGACTTGTTGAAGATCCCGTGTTATGCCTGTTTCTTTTGGAACATGACTGTAAATGGTTTCGGCAAGGAGGTATAAGAAAAACAGTATTATGCTCGTTACGTTTATTAAGCAGATATGTAAAACTGAAATGTGATCCGTGAATAGAGTTATTGAAACTCAACATATATCCCGATATTTCATACCTTAGACCACGCGTGACAGATCCAACTGTTATACAAGTACAGGGAATGTAGGCCTTCTTTCCACAGTCACTTTTATTCTACATTTGTCATCGTCAATTTTCTAGTAAATATGTGCATATAAATACTACTTTCTTGCTTTGATGAATTTTCTATAATATACTGTGATACCCCACTTATCCAGATATCTGATGTGATAGCCTCCTCTGGGTACACCAGTCCCACAACAAGAAGTTCATTTATACAGACCTATTTCACAAAGTCTGTCTGGATAAGTGGGGTTGCACTGGTATTGACTAGCCGTGTCTAAGTCTCTAGTCTGTGAATGTTGGCTGTTGTAGCCCAGTGGTGCCAGTCTCGTATCATATCTGTACATAATCATCTCATGTCATTAAACAGGTTCATTTTCAAATATGTACGACGTTTTGTTGTTCTGTGAAAATCAGAAAACTAGATTGAATAGTGAAAGCAGTGGGAAGATCTGTGAGGTGAGGTGAAATGGAGTTTAACATTGCGTTCAAGATTATTGCACTAATACAGCGACGTACATGCACATGCATGGGTGCGTCGGCTTGTACTAGTCCTGACTAATGTCAGTTTATAGTGCCAGCCCACTTAGATACCATGCCACGGTTTAACATGGATACCCTACCTCAGACATACTGATTCCAAGATGACCAGTCCTAGTTTGGTCCCCCTAATTCCAAGTGCCAGGCAGGGTAACAACAAGTACCATCTTTTAATGTTTTTTGGTATGGCCGGTGATCAAACCCCGGACCTTCCAGTCTCCAAGCAGATCCTCTACCACTAGACCACAGAGGCGTGGACAGGTCTACATGGGACAATTGGAACTTTGTGCCACACATTTGGTTTTTATGAAGAATTAGGCATGCTGATATCACGATTATGTGTAGGTGTGTCTTTGTAGTGGACAGTGCCTGAAAACAATAACTAAATTTTCAGCATTTATTGCAATAACAAATCAAGCAAGAGAATATGTTAAAAATCAGTTTTATAAATATTAAAACACATACAATATCCTGTTACATCTTTAAAATGTAAAATCAAATTCTCACGAACTTAACACAGTAAAAGTCATTCATACCAAGGATGTTCATGTTAGACATAGACATCCCATACCAACAATCATCTGATGAAGGAGACAGTTTTCAGTCAGCGGTGACACAGCGATGAGTGAGTGAGTTTGGTTGTAAGCCACACTGAGCAGTACTTCAGTTATATCTCAGTATGTTGGCTTCATGTGGCTTGTCAGGAGCCTACGATCATGGGTTTCAATCTCAGATTCAGCCTGACTGTTTCTAGGTCTGTCAGCACCATATCCATGCTCATAGGTTTCACCACATTGATAAATGTCCAAAATCTGCATCACCTTAAGCTGATACACCATGTTATTTCTGAAATCTGTTCAAAGTGGGTTTAAACCAAACTCCTTCACTCACTGCATCTTGAGTGTTTTGCAAATGTTTTCACAGTGCCATGAACCTGTTTCACAGGGTTTACTTTGTGTTCTTGTACATACATACATACATATCTTACATTCCTGGCACAGAATTCCCAGTATCAAAACTGGCATTTATTCGTCTTTGGTTCATCAAGGAAGCTACCATGGATGACACATGCATTTCAAGAATGCAAAATCCATTTAACTTAACAACAATTGCACAAATCTTTTTATGGAACAATATTGATAAACATGGACGTGTAGCACCGGCATAAAAATTAAAGAGCAGACTAAAAGTTTTATGTTGGATATAAATCTAAATTCCCCAATTTGGGTGTGGAGGCGTTGCACATTTTTCTCTCCATAAATAACCATATTTGTACTCTGAACTTGGAACAGCATCACAACTGCAGGTAAAATTAATAAACCACAAGAAAGACCATGCCATATAAAGCCTTCCTTGGTGGATGGTGGATTGATGTTGGTCCCAAAATTTTGATGTGCCATGTTTGGATGTGTGTGTGTTTGGGGGAGGAGGAGGAGCAGGAGAGAGAGTTGATGTCTCAAATCTTAAGGTATTCGTCTTTTTTTAACCCCACATAAAACTTTTAAACTGCTCTCTTACTGTACACATTGTCAACATACAGAGAAAACATCTGCTTTGCCTCTTTCAACAACAGTTATACTCAAAGGTAAAAGTAACTGTCATGTTGTTAATCATCATACGTTTTGTTTTTTAGAAGCATATAATTGAAATCTTTGAAAATATAAACTGGCGTTTAATTGGACAGAAGATGGACCCTAACAACTTTCAAAAGATTTGGCTTTTTAATTTAATTTTTTTTATAGATTCAATATATTAAATCAAATTCTGCACACTAATATTTACATTATTTTCACAAGTTATAGTTGCCCATATCATAGTTATTTTTTATTTTCAGTTATCTTACATGGTCGCAGTTATTTTGCCTTTGAGTATATACCGGAATATCACTCTAAACTTTCAACAAGATCATCCAATGCTTTGAAACATTGTGTCTAAGCATTTATCAATGGCTACATGGTAGCTGTGTCATGGAACAAAGCTAATAGTCTTGAACTCATTTCTGATATTATTATTAAAATAACAGTGATCATTTACGTGTTATAGAGGATGGGTGACACTATGTTATTGGATAACAAAGGTACATTGAACAAACACTGATGTAAAGAGGAATTCTATCATTCTTGCAACTATTTCTTTTTCGCACAATTAGCACTTTTCTCTCCAAATGCTCAAACCAACTGTCATATCATTACACCATTGGTTGGTTGGTTTGTTATTTTACGCCACACTCAGCAATATTCCAGCTATATGATGGCGGTCTGTAAATAATCGAGTCTGGACCAGACAATCCAGCGATTGACATCATGAGCACGATCCTCGTTATTGGGATTGATGACATGCATCAACCAAGTCAGCAAGCCTGACCACCTGATCCCGTTAGTCGCCTTTTACGACAAGCATAGTCACCTTTTACGGCAATGACACATTGTCAGTACCTCATGGAGAGTATATTTCTCAATCAACCATCAACACATACTTTGCAGTGTGGTTGCTACTTTTAATCAAGGAATCAAACTATGGCCTGGTTCCTTGCTTCAACATCAGGAATTGTTATACCTCTCTTAAGAATCTTACAATTCCATTGGCTAATCCATACCATGTGATGAAACAATACATTTGAATGTTGACCTCAAAATCCGTGACTGACACTGACCTCAAATATTGACTCATCATGATCAGTATTGACCTGTCACGTTATGAATATTTACTAGTCTGCTAGAAAACAAGATGGCATCTGGTACTAACATGTCCCGGTTCACAGCTACCTTACAGTAATGAAACAGAAGATGGTTTAAAGGAATCCTAAACTTAAAGTGAATTTTGGTATAACAGAGTAAATAAAACAAAGATCCAAGGACCAGACCCATGAAGTGGTCTGTTTTCGCATACTGACCTCATCATAAGTAATTACAATGTATTTGTATAACGATAAGATTCGCAGAGTTCCTGCACAAAGTGGGGTTCATTTGACTTCCATGAGTTACACAGTCACCTTTCATTTGCTGACTGAGACTAGACACGTGTCACGACTACCTAACATATCAGCTGTATGCAGACTGAGTGATGAATGAACAATAGTGGATACAATCCTGTCCTGTACTAACAATGCAGGTGACATAGTGGTGCTAAAAGGACTAAAACAAATACATGTGAAATGTCTATGGTCCAGCCATGTCATACAGTTAAAATACACATATTCACAATAATTTAATACCATACATGCATGAAAATGAATAATAAATTAAAAACATGAGTAATTGAGTAAATTGGTTGGGATTAGCTTCGCTTTAATAGTATTCCAGTTATATGACGGTGTCAGCTTGATGTGGGAGGAAAGCCCACAGTGATGCAGGTCTCACGACGTTTTCCACTTCAGTGAAACCTATGGACAACCAGGATTCGAACCCACGAATCTGCACAACCACATTCGACACCTGGACAACCCGTGCCCCCAACAAGAGTGAGTGAGTGAGTGAGTGAGTGAGTGAGTGAGTGAGTGAGTGAGTGAGTGAGTGAGTGAGTGAGTGAGTGAGTGAGTGTGAGTGAGTGAGTGAGTGAGTGTGAGTGAGTGAGCTTTTAGCAATATTCCAGCAATATCACGGCAGGGGACACCAGAATTGGGCTTCACACATTGTACCCATGTCGAGAATCAAAGCCAGGTCTTCGAGCGAACGCCTTAACCACTAGGCTACCCGACCGCCCCCAAAATGACAAGAACGACCAGTATCCAATGTTAACTATACAATATGTAGAGGTTCATTCACCCAGTGTACTGACACACAAGCATTCTGTTGGTTACATCTTCAGCTATGTTATGCTATGTTACAGGTAACACTCTGTCCCACACATCCACACAATCTTCAAGTGTTAACAGCCATGACTTTCAATGACATTCAGATCTACCATCACCGACAACAAACATTCATCACACAACCATGTATGCTACAACACGTACGCCCTGTTGAGTACAACTTCAACATGTGTGTCGGAATCTCTGTAGAGATCCAGCACCACCAGGAAGCGCTGATGGTGGCAGTTCTCTGCTGTGTGTAGGAGCTGGCGGACAGTCAGTACAGTGACTTCAGATCCTTCCTGGCTTGTTTCTGTGTCGTATTTCCCTTCTAAGAAGTCAGCAAAGTCTGTCCGCTTTGGAAAATTAACACAGCTAACGTCTCGCAGAGAATGTAAAAGAACACGAGTATTCAGGCCTTGCCATGTTGTTACAAACATTTCCTCAGATTCCTGGAACTTTGGCCCTGCAATTATACAAAATTTATAGAAATAACACAAATTGTCTCTTTCAGTCAAGTCAGCTAAAAAAGGAATATATCTGTTTTTTGTTTAACGCCGCACTCATCAATAAAACATTTTTGGTTACAACAAATTTCATTGCCAAACTAAGGTACTGTAACATGCAAACAAGGAATTGTCTCAAACTACAGTTACAAACCTCCAACTTCCGGCTTTGGCTGGTCAGTAGCTGGGAGGTTGATCCAGGTCAGTTTGTCCCCCCGGTGATAATCGACTGGACACAAATGACTGTTGGACACTTCGTGGTCCCCCACAGAATCAAAGCGGTCAATGTTCTGATGTGTGTCAGCATTGACAACTGTTTCCAAAGGGTTACCTTTCTGAAGAGGAGCAACAGAGCATGAGATAACTTACTTTGGGAGGTCATCCAAAAGTCTACCCCCAAAATCACACAAACTTTATGTAACCCATTATTAGTTTTACTACTTCAACAACCACATAAACATGTCATCATGGAAGGCAATGCGCATACAAAATGTCATCAGATGTATTTAAAAAAAAAGAAAGATGGGCAGGGAAGAGGGGATGCAAAACTACCCATTGCTGCTAACAACAAGCATGGGGTACTTGGGACCAAATCTGTGAGTCACAACAAAGTTTTACACTTTACAAACCTGTTTTTTCTTTGATTTTCCCTGGGCCATTGATCTGAAAGTAAACAGGAGGTTGAATATTGATCTGAACAAACTGCCACCTCAGTACCTAAGATACTTACTTGACTATGCTAGTCGTAATATAATAACAGGATGGGGTGGTCAGGCTTGCTGACTTGGTTGATGCATGTTATCGTATCCCAATTGTGTGGATCGATGCTCACAATATCAATCACTGGATTGTCTGGTCCAGACTCGATTATTTACAGACTGCCATCACATAGCTGGAATATTGCTGAGTGCGACAACAACAACAACAACAAACAAACAAAACCTTGGGAAATATTTGCATGCGTCAAGGCTGAAAAACAAAACAAAGGACTCGCAGGCAATGACTATTTTCATCGTCTCACAGCAATGATAAAATACTCAAATGTGACAGGAAGAAAACAGTGCTACTGACGTTTCTAGCCCATGGAACTTGACAGCAGCTAGCTTGGCCTGTACGTAGAGTCGTATATGCTGCATGTAGCTGGATCTCTCCAGGGTCTCTCTCCACGCACTGCAGGGGGTGATCTGAAACATTACACTCTTCATCAACACACACATCATGTAGGAGTCAGATCTAGAGTGGGTATTTAACCTTGGGCAGATTGTCTAATTTGCGGGAGATATACATATCATATACATATCATATGAAATTATGACTTTGTTATACAAAATAGAACTTCTTCATCATTGATTATTATGTCTTTGGACATTTCCACAGGATTTTGTAGGGTGTTGAGAACTGAACTCCAACATTTACTGTTCTATCAATGACCTGCAATGTACCGTTATATCAATGACCTGCAATGTACCGTTATATCAATGACCTGAAATGTACTGTTAAATCAATGACCTGCAATGAACCATTATATCAATGACCTGCAATGTACTGTTATATCAATGACCTGCAATGTACCATCACATTTCAGTGTTGAGAAGTGAACTCCAACATTTACTGTTCTATCAATGACCTGCAATGAACCATCACGTCAGGGTGTTGAGAACTGAACTCCAACATTTACTGTTATATCAATGACCTGCAATGTACCATTATATCAATGACCTGCAATGTACTGTTATATCAATGACCTGCAATGTACCATTATATCAATGACCTGCAATGTACTGTTATATCAATGACCTGCAATGTACCGTTATATCAATGGCCTGCAATGTACTGTTTTATCAATGACCTGCAATGTACTGAGAAGAGAACGCCAACATTTACTGTTCTATCAATGACCTGCAATGTACCATTATATCAATGACCTGCAATGTACCATTATATCAATGACCTGCAATGTACCATTATATCAATGACCTGCAATGTACCGTTATATCAATGGCCTGCAATGTACCATCACGTTACAGTGTTGAGAAGTGAACTCCAACATTGACTGTTCTATCAATGACGTGCAACATACCATGATGTTAGGGTGCATAGTCTTCAACTCGGCGAGGCTGTGAGGTAGAGGGGGGTAGGAGAAGTAGCCACCCACAGACATGTCCAGGTCCATGTCATTGAGACGTCGAGACAGGTTGATCATCCACGCTCGGACGGAGGGAGACAAGGCGTGTTGGGATGTCACACACTGGAAACAAGGGAAGGAATCAGAGGCTTTGAAATCATAACAAAAGTTTCAGGATTATACCATAATGAAAATATATTTCTCTTTGACACATGCATGATAAGGGGATCTCCACCAATGTACAATACCACTAAAAATGGTAATCCTTGTCAGGTTTATACACATAGATATTAAATTGAAAGTCCTGTGGAACATTTAAAAAGCATGGCAGGTTCAATCATTAAATTTATCAAAACTGCAAATTGCATATTACATATTACGGACAATTCTATTCCGGTAAGAATTACACTCAAACTTCAGGGTTTCAAGGTCGATTTTTTTTCAACCTAAAATTGAAATCCTCATCTATATATGGCTAAAAAAATAATAGTCTTGGTTCTCAGGTACTGCCCTCATCGTCATAAAGTTTGCCGCACGTTTCATTTTTATTTCCTATAAAAAAAACCAACAAAAATCTTTAAATATTCCAAGCCCAACAGTACTGTATTCCAGTATTTTACCCATCAAGGAATACATTTATGTAGGCAGGCCCTTCCCAGGTTGATTGTACACAATTGTTTATTGATTAAACTGGTGTTTATTGGTTAGATACTAGTTTGAACAATGCCACCCCCCACCCCCACCCCCACCCCCCAAAGATGCCACCTGCCCGCTCTATATTTTTTTAAACCATTGCCTGAGAACTAATGCTTTTATTTTTTATTTTTTTAAGCCTATGATAACAGACTTAAAGCTTCTGAGCCAATTTCAGACTAGTAGTTTCTGTAAGATTACTTGATTTGAAGCTCTTCTCGACTGTTCTAAAAGCAATATTGAACTGGAGCGATGTCCATGTTTGTAATGATACTAATCTTAGGAACATGATCAACATTTCTGTATCAGTTGTCAGTGCTCTCTCAAAATGTAAGGTCAACAATGCACATGTTCACGACCACCTCTTCAATCATTCTACATAAAGGCTGGCATGACTGTATTACAATACCTGCGACAGTGCAGTGGTGGTGACGTAGATGTGCCGGTGTTGGCGGGAGTGGTGCAGGGAGGCAAGGTTGTGCCTCACCCTCACATGTCGACACATCACTACTTGGTGGGGCTTGAGGCTGTCAAAAACAGCATCCTAAAAGGATACAATGGTTGGAAATGAAAACAGTAAAATAAATACAAGGTGCAGTTTATCATGTATGAATGAGTATATTTTCGATACAGCTAACAATGGAAAGTCCATACTAAAGAAAACAATTCAATTTAAAAGACTTGGATTCTTGTTTCACGGGTGTCCAAGCCACACAGCTTTGCACCCTTCATGGAACCAGCTACCATTTGAACTCAAAAACAGTCCTGTCTATTCTACGTTCAAAGCATTTCTCAAGCCTCATCTCTTCTGCCAAGCCTACCTCAAGAAACTTTCTCATTTGTGCTTCATGCACGTCATAGTGCATGGAGATTAGCGTTTCATAAAAGAGTGAGTGAGTGAGTATGGTCTTATGCCGTTTTTAGCAATATTCCAGCAATATCCCAACAGGGCACCCCAGAAATGGGCTTCACACATCGTACCCATGTCGGAAATCGAGCCCCAGTCTTCGACGTGACGAGCCAACGCTTTAACCACTAGGCTACCTTACCGCTGCGCGTGTCATAAATGATTGTTATTATTATTTTTATTATTAGGCTTGGTTGAAATTATGTAGATTAAACAGAAAGAGACCTATTATGAACAGACCGAAGAAAAGCTTGGGGGGTGGGGGGCATGTTTACATTTTTACGTGATCCATGAGTAAACTGTAATATAACTACTGTAATGATAATCAGTCACAAAACAACAAAGGTTTTGGACAAACCACAATGCTGCAATCTGAATGAAATATCTCAGAAATTGGGTGATGACTGACCTGTCCCCTGTACATCTGAAGGATGAAGGGCTTGTTGTGGCTGTGGTCACGAATGTGGACCCACCTCCTCAGCCAGAACCCTCCGCTGTCCCCTTGTGTCCGACCTGCACATACACACACAGACATAGCAGTTGCAGTAGAAACACTGATCTGCTTACCTTCGGGCCCACTGGCAACTTCCTCATTTATAGTCCAACCTCGCTTATCCGGACTCTCAAACATGGTCAGATTTTCTAGGTAGCTGACTTCCTTGTTAACTGACCGGAGTTATCTCCCCTACCCAAATTCTACCGAGACATAAAAATACTCTCGGTCACCATTTTTATTGCATGATAATTGATGGGATCACAAGACAAAGACAAGACAACTGACCCTTAGTGGCTTCCCTCTCCACACGTCCGACATACACCACCACGCCAGCAATATCACACACCACGTTGTCTGGCAGAGAACTGTAGAAACAGACACATTGACTGTCAAACTCCCAGCTACCAACATGGAGCAAAGCTATAAAGGGTCCAGATGGTTTAAAATGATCATAAAACACCAAAGGTAGTTTCAAATTCTATCATAAAAGTTTTTTTTATCAGAAAATCACAATGAACATGATGAAACACTAAAATATTATGCTTTTTGTGAAAGTAAGAAAAAACAAACAAGCAAGCAAACATATACTCATTCTTGGTTCCTGATCATGATCAATTCATACAAGTGGGATACGATGCCATGCTATCAACAAAGTCACCTGGTCCATTTAGTCGTCTCTCATGACAAGCTTAGGTTGCTGGGGACCTATATTCTTACCCGGAATCCCCATGGTTGGTTGGTTGGTTGGTTTGTTGTTTAACGCCGCACTCAGCAATATTCCAGTTATATGGCAGCGGTCTGTAAATAATCGAGTCTGGACCAGACAATCCAGTGATTAATATCACGAGCATCGATCCACGCAATTGGGATCGATGACATGCATCAACCAAGTCAGCGAGCCTGACAACCCGATCCCGTTAGTCGCCTGTTACAACAAGCAGAGTCACCTTTAAAGGCAAGCATGGGTTGCTGAAGACCTATTCTACCCCGGAATCTACACGGGTCGGAATCCCCATGGATGACCAGGACAGTAAGTAGCAATGGCTCACATGATGTAGCAAGTTAATGTAGTTCGGATGATCATGGTGATGTTCTACTTCACAGTTACCATGGTTACGCACCTAAGTTGATTTCTTGTAATTAATCGGTACTTCAACTCCGCCAAGCGAAGTAGACTGGGTAAACTCCTGTTGTTGAGGATCAAAATCTCTCCCTTCGGATGATGAGCATTCATATTAAGGTCAATAGGGTAAAGGTCAAGGCCATTTTCTTGTATATGCCACTGGTAATTTATGGAGAAGCTTTTCTTCACTGTAAAATTTCGCAACATCAGAACAGATCCTTCCTTTATTCTGAATTGAGAAGTGGAAAGTCAGTTATCATGGTTAAAGGAAGATTTTCATGAATGATAAGATTGAAGTCTACATGAACAAAACTAGAATAAGAATAGGTGTGTTGTGTTGTGTTGTGTGGTGTGGTGTGGTGCGGCGTGGCATGGTGTGCGGTGTGTATGTGCAGTCAAGGAGAGGAGCTAACATACTCACTGCTTCAAGTATTGAAGACACACAACATTCCACAACACAACAGTGCAGTATCCAGACTTGTCACACACCAGCAGGTGATGCTGAAACAAACAGCATCCAACATCTTTCAAATGACACTATGTGAATACACAAGCAAACTGCAATATTACAAGGACTTGATACTTGATACACCTTAACCAATTACAGTCATATCAATGTATAATATACAAGGTACAGGTTTTGCATATTAATCTACTTCAGCATAGCAAGAGAATGTACAAATGACTAACCACGAGAGGGCTTATCCACCTAAATTCTAAAACATTCACTTAGCCAATCAAACATGCCCCCAGCCACCCGAATATCCACCAAGCCACACAAACATCCACTTAGCTTCCAAAACATCCACAAAGCTATGCAGACACCCACCTAGTCACCCAAATATCCATCAAGCCACACAAACATCCACTTAGCTTCCAAAACATCCACAAAGCTATGCAGACACCCACCTAGTCACCCAAACATCCACCCAACCATTCACCTAGCCACACAAACATCCACTTAGCTTCCAAAACATCCACAAAGCTATGCAGACACCCACCTAGTCACCCAAACATCCACCTAACCATTCACCTAGCCACACAAACATCCACTTAGCTTCCAAAACATCCACAAAGCTATGCAGACACCCACCTAGTCACCCAAACATCCACCTAACCATTCACCTAGCCACACAAACATCCTCTTAGCTTCCAAAACATCCACAAAGCTATGCAGACACCCACCTAGTCACCCAAACATCCACCTAACCATTCACCTAGCCACACAAACATCCTCTTAGCTTCCAAAACATCCACAAAGCTATGCAGACACCCACCTAGTCACCCAAACATCCACTTATCCACCTAACCATTCACCTAGCCACACAAACATCCACTTAACTTCCAAAACATCCACAAAGCTATGCAGACACCCACCTAGTCACCCAAACATCCACCCAACCACACAAACATCCACTTAGCTTCCAAAACATCCACAAAGCTATGCAGACACCCACCTAGTCACCCAAACATCCACCCAACCACACAAACATCCACTTAGCTTCCAAAACATCCACAAAGCTATGCAGACACCCACCTAGTCACACAAACATCCACCCAACCACACAAACATCCACTTAGCTTCCAAAACATCCACAAAGCTATGCAGACACCCACCTAGTCACCCAACCATTCACCTAGCTACACAAACATCCACTTAGCTTCCAAAACATCCACAAAGCTATGCAGACACCCACCTAGTCACCCAAACATCCACCTAACCATTCACCTAGCCACACAAACATCCACTTAACTTCCAAAACATCCACAAAGCTATGCAGACACCCACCTAGTCACCCAACCATTCACCTAGCCACACAAACATCCACTTAGCTTCCAAAACACCCACAAATCTATGCAGACACCCACCTAGTCACCCAAACATCCACCTAGCCACACAAACATTCACCTAGCCACACAAACATCCACTTAGCTTCCAAAACATCCACAAATCTATGCAGACACCCACCTAGTCACCCAAACATCCACCTAGCCACACAAACATTCACCTAGCCACACAAACATCCACTTAGCTTCCAAAACATCCACAAAGCTATGCAGACACCCACCTAGTCACCCAAACATCCACCTAACCATTCACCTAGCCACACAAACATCCACTTAGCTTCCAAAACATCCACAAAGCTATGCAGACACCCACCTAGTCACCCAAACATCCACCTAACCATTCACCTAGCCACACAAACATCCTTAGCTTCCAAAACATCCACAAAGCTATGCAGACACCCACCTAGTCACCCAAACATCCACCCAACCATTCACCTAGCCACACAAACATCCACTTAACTTCCAAAACATCCACAAAGCTATACAGACACCCACCTAGTCACCCAACCATTCACCTAGCCACACAAACATCCACTTAGCTTCCAAAACATCCACAAAGCTATGCAGACACCCACCTAGTCACCCAAACATCCACTTATCCACCTAACCATTCACCTAGCCACACAAACATCCTCTTAGCTTCCAAAACATCCACAAAGCTATGCAGACACCCACCTAGTCACCCAAACATCCACCTAACCATTCACCTAGCCACACAAACATCCTCTTAGCTTCCAAAACATCCACAAAGCTATACAGACACCCACCTAGTCACCCAAACATCCACCTAGCCACACAAACATTCACCTAGCCACACAAACATCCACTTAGCTTCCAAAACATCCACAAAGCTATGCAGACACCCACCTAGTCACCCAAACATCCACCTAACCATTCACCTAGCCACACAAACATCCACTTAGCTTCCAAAACATCCACAAAGCTATGCAGACACCCACCTAGTCACCCAAACATCCACCTAACCATTCACCTAGCCACACAAACATCCTCTTAGCTTCCAAAACATCCACAAAGCTATGCAGACACCCACCTAGTCACCCAAACATCCACCCAACCATTCACCTAGCCACACAAACATCCACTTAACTTCCAAAACATCCACAAAGCTATACAGACACCCACCTAGTCACCCAACCATTCACCTAGCCACACAAACATCCACTTAGCTTCCAAAACATCCACAAAGCTATGCAGACACCCACCTAGTCACCCAAACATCCACTTATCCACCTAACCATTCACCTAGCCACACAAACATCCTCTTAGCTTCCAAAACATCCACAAAGCTATGCAGACACCCACCTAGTCACCCAAACATCCACCTAACCATTCACCTAGCCACACAAACATCCTCTTAGCTTCCAAAACATCCACAAAGCTATACAGACACCCACCTAGTCACCCAAACATCCACCTAGCCACACAAACATTCACCTAGCCACACAAACATCCACTTAGCTTCCAAAACATCCACAAAGCTATGCAGACACCCACCTAGTCACCCAAACATCCACCTAACCATTCACCTAGCCACACAAACATCCACTTAGCTTCCAAAACATCCACAAAGCTATGCAGACACCCACCTAGTCACCCAAACATCCACCTAACCATTCACCTAGCCACACAAACATCCTCTTAGCTTCCAAAACATCCACAAAGCTATGCAGACACCCACCTAGTCACCCAAACATCCACCCAACCATTCACCTAGCCACACAAACATCCACTTAACTTCCAAAACATCCACAAAGCTATACAGACACCCACCTAGTCACCCAACCATTCACCTAGCCACACAAACATCCACTTAGCTTCCAAAACATCCACAAAGCTATGCAGACACCCACCTAGTCACCCAAACATCCACCCAACCATTCACCTAGCCACACAAACATCCACTTAACTTCCAAAACATCCACAAAGCTATACAGACACCCACCTAGTCACCCAACCATTCACCTAGCCACACAAACATCCACTTAGCTTCCAAAACATCCACAAAGCTATGCAGACACCCACCTAGTCACCCAAACATCCACTTATCCACCTAACCATTCACCTAGCCACACAAACATCCTCTTAGCTTCCAAAACATCCACAAAGCTATGCAGACACCCACCTAGTCACCCAAACATCCACTTATCCACCTAACCATTCACCTAGCCACACAAACATCCTCTTAGCTTCCAAAACATCCACAAAGCTATGCAGACACCCACCTAGTCACCCAAACATCCACCTAACCATTCACCTAGTCACCCAAACATCCACTTATCCACCTAACCATTCACCTAGCCACACAAACATCCACTTAGCTTCCAAAACATCCACATAGCTGTTCAAACTCCTACCTAGCCTCCTTCAACCCATCCATCTCACCGACCTTTACAGTTTGTTATAAGAAAATACGAAAAGAGACCCAAGTCTTTATCAAACTTTATTCACTGGTATGCCATACCTGGAATGGCCACTTGTCTGTTTTATCAGGTTTTGCATAGTTGAGAAGACGAGACTTGCGGACAACTCGGACTAGGACGGGAGGTTTGGTGGACTGAATGCGACCCCACCTGGTGGCTAGCTCTTTTATGCAGCAAAGGTCAAGGGTCAGCGGTTCATCCACATCATTCTGGGCTGGAACTAGGATTGGATTGACTTAATAACCATATGCTGAATGAGTTGTGAGTGAATGTGAGTGAATGTGAGTGAGTTGGGTTTGACACTGCTTTAAACAATATTCCAGTTTTATCACCGCATGTCAGCTTGATTTGGGAAGGAAGCTGAAGTGATGCAGGTCTTAGATGTTTACCACTTTCGTGGCACCCACAAGAATGGGCATGGTGCTGACAAACCTAGAAACAATCTGGACAGATCTTGTTTTGAGCATACAATCCTAAAGTGTCCAAGGGATGCACAGCGAATCAAGGTGCCTTACATGACTGGGCCCTATGCCGTCCCCCTACAGGCATCTAGCTCCCTTTGAGTCCAAAGATATATTACCAGATAAAATAAACATTCTTGTTTCATGAATGTCAACGCTCTTTTCGGCCCCCCAAACAGTAACAAAGTGTGATTACGTTGTCAATCAATACCTATCATGAAACAAAGCTTGCCATTTCATTGGTATCCTTATACTAATTCAATATATATTTCCAAAATACATCATGAGAAAAGCCAGTGGTTGACAACATGATCTATGATCCAAGTTCCTGGGGTACACATTGGGTATACTGACCTACAATCAGTCAGATCACACATTGTGGCCAGGTGATCCCCTATCTCGGTTAGGTGAAACGGGGTTTAACGTCGCATTCAAGATTACTGCACTTATAGAGCGACGTGCATGCACATTTGCGTGTGTGGCTACTTGTACTAATCCGAACTAATGCTGATTTTTATCACTTTTATAGTACTAGCCGACTGAGATATCATAACATGAATACCCCACACAGACACAGTATACTGACTCCAAGCCCACCAGTCCTTGTCTTAGCTTCTTAATGCCGACCTCCAGGCAGGGTAACAACAAGTATCTTCTTTTAACGTCTTTTGGTATGATGCAAGGGGGGATTAACCCCCCGAGCTTCTGCTCTCCGGGCAGACACTATTCCACTAGACCACAGAGGTGGTCAATCCCCAATGTAGATATGCCAAGAGGTTAAACAACCTACTCACCTGTACCTTCACTTTCAGGAACAACGACATCACTGCTGGTCCACACACTGACATAAGAACCCCTCCCAGATGCTATGGGGATTCTGCCTGTCTGTCGCACATTAGACTCAGGATACCATGGCAAATCATAGCTCTCTGTAGGGATAGAAAATGTAGTTGGACTCAATAATCTTAATAAAGCTAACATAAGCATGATATGTCCCATGCTTAATGTTACTTAAACAAGACTGCCCTACTATAACCTACAGTTTCACACAAAATTACAGTGATTGAAATTGAGCATGACAGTTAAGGGGATCTTGTCCTTGCGCTATTGTAAAAAGTGATTACATTGTTGAAGAATGTAGATACAAATACTAAACATGATAAAGGTGCAAAGCTCAGGGATGACCCTTAATTTCAGACCAAACTATACTGAACAAAAAAGGTCTGCATGGTCAGGGATCATGAATATTTTTTTAGATATTTTTATCAAATTGTGTGCTTAGTCTTGCCTAAAATATATTCCCAAAAATATCATGATACCTAACTGTCAGTGTTCGGTATATTACATTAGTGACAACAGTTGTCATTATCATGGTGTTCAAGCAATATCCCAAGTTAGACACCATCATGACCTAGAAAACATTTTCTTACTCACTGCATATGCTGCAGCTATACTAGAAACAAACCAGCATCTATATACTCTACCACTGTACAAACTGTACCCACAGAACATGTAGGAGAACTGACAGAGTACACTAGATATTAGCAATTAGCTCACTAGTTATCTAGTCTATTTTAATATTGATATCAACATATGAGAATCGATGTTAATCTTACTGTATGAGCGAGTATATTTTTAAGCCATTTTTAGCAATATCCCAGCAATATCATGGCAGGGGAAACCAGAAATGGGCATCACACATTGTACACCTGTGGGGAATCCAACCTGTGCCTTCAGCATGATAAGTACAGTCAAGCCTTGTTAATCTGACACTTGTTAATTCGACAATTGGCTATATCTGACACAAATGGTGGGAACGGATTTAATCAGTGCTATTTAGACCCGTTAATCCGACAGTCTCGCACTCCGACTCCAACACACCTAATTTGTGTCTCCATGGTCCGGAGCCCGCGAGTACACAGCCCCGTGTTTTGATGCGAGAGAGTCGGTGAGTAGCACAACAATATGAATATTTCATTTGTCTTTTTCCTACTTGTTCGTATCGTTATCTATCGTGTAGTTGTCCAATTTTCGATCACGAATGTTTATACTACCTAATTTCTTCTATCCGACATAATCATATTCAACCAACAATGTCGGATTAACGGGACTTGACTGCATATGCTTTAACCACTACGCTACCCTACCGCCACTCTTCTTTTACTATTTCAGAAGCAAAAGTCGAATAAGAAATAAGTCATAGTACCAATGAAGTCCTCAGCAGTTTTCTGTCCAGTTACATGAAGTTCCTCAATGATAATGAGACTTTCTGCCTGTAAATCTGTTTCATCAAATCTTGCTTTACACTTGTTAAGACACACCGTGCTGCCAACACGCAACTGAAACATATTATTATCATCATGAATATCACAATAAGTGTTACCATGTTAACAACAATAAAATAACAAAAACTATGAATGTAACCATGTTAGGATTCAATTGTACATGTTGTACATAGTTTTAGCATATTCAGCTTCAAAATGCATTTATATTGAGCAACCATTGGCAACAGCAAATAAAAACCATTCGATTTAAAAACAAATTATTTTCAGATTTTGAGCTGAGCATATTACTATGATAAACTTACTATATTTTAAGACATGCTGGTTAAAAATGTTTTGTTTTGAAATCATTGCTAATGATGAGCTTCATGAACATTATGAAGAAGCCCATTCAAATCATCCCAATAGATCTGATATTAACCTTGTTCTGTTGCACATAAAAGTTGAGTTTATTAGACAGCAGCAACTTTCTCTTTGTTGAGGTATCAGCTAGTGTGATGTCGTGCACATCCAAAACTTGACTTGTGTCAGAGTTGGTCTGTTTCTTAAACTCAGGATCTGTTAAGTAACGATTGATACACAAGACCTGCAACAGGAGAAAGGTTAAATATGAATGTTGTCAAAAATGCAGTTTAATTGGGTTTACTCAACATATAGTTAAGACTTCTGCCCGTACCTCCCCTAAATATATATATATATGATTAAAAGGATTGAGCTGCAATGCATACAAATACAACTTTTGGAGGGGGGATATGGGCGGAAATCTTTCAAACAAATACTTGATGCAGCATTGTCAGGGGTACTACAGAAGGCCTCTCAGTAAATGACTGAATCATACAACACTCAATCTGTTCGTCATACATCAGAGTCCTTTATGCATTTCAAATATCAATGATATATTCAACCTCATTTACAATCTCAGTATTTTACTTTCCAAACGTCTAGCATTCATCAACTGGGGTTGCAAATGAACGATGCTAAAAACATAATCATGATAAAAACAAAATCAAAACATGTTAAAAGCAACGTTAGAAACTGGCACTAGTCCTATAGTAAATGGTAAACTGCCTAATAGTTAAGCTATCATAAGGACTGGTAGAAATTTGCCCTTTTTTAGCTATATGTTATCATTATAAGGTCTAGAGGACTAAAACTGTGTTACTAACAGTGTAGGTTCTATCGCTGTTAAAGTAACTTATTGATGCGGATACACGGGCTTAAGCTTGCAAATAATCAAACGTGCGAGGGTCAAACGTGCTTGTATCTAAGCGTCATGCCCGACTATTATGGGGGCATTGTATACTTGAAAATTATAAACACTCTTCCTTGATCATCAACTGTCGACAACAGTTTCACTTCCGAAAAGAAATAAACCAGAATATTATACGACGAAAACAAACTGTTCGGTGGAAGTAACAGTACTAACACGTGCACAAGATATCACTTACAATAAAGTTTTCAGTCTGGAGTCCTACATCATCAAGTTCTGCAATTCTTATGGCATCTTCCAGTTCTTTCAGGTTGCTGGAAGAATCCAAGTTTGAGTCTGCCGCCATATTTGCCGTGGTTGTTGTTAAAAGTTGACGTTGGCAAATATCAATCAGAAGAACTACATCCGCATTCCAGTGCCCCGGATAGTAGATTCAACATTTATGATGGTCGGCCGCCGGAACTACCCGATGTTTTCCAAATGGAAAAATGCGGTTATTACAAAATTCAGAAAAATTATAAAACGTACTTTGTAAAAGGATTATTTACATAGTTTTCACAACCAAATCATATCATATTTTCGTAGCACTATGGGTCAGGTCAATTTATTTATATATTACTAAAATAAAAGAAATGCATGCATTTGCTTTGTTGGACTGGAATTGTGTTGTAATAACATTATTTTTTTTCAATATTTCGATGGAGGAAAAACATTTCGTTATATTTTTCATTTGGGGGGCTAATACTTATAAAGTGAAAATAATCCATTTCACCGTTAAGAAATATTACTAACAGTAATGACAAACATTGCAAACATTTAAATAAATGTCCATTTTGCTAGCGAAAAAATCCTCATTGAGTTTTGGTTATGTGGGCATATGAAAATGCAGTGTTTGTTATCGGCGGAATGGCTTGTTTTTACTTTATAAGTATTATTTATCACACATGCAACTATCTTCGTTAATTAATCATCGTGATATGTGGAGCAAAGAAAAGGAATTTTGGAAAGTATAGGAGCACTTTTATATTTCAGTTTATGAAAAGGAAGAATTGAATTGATAAACGTTTTTGAATATTTTTAGTGAGGATGAATTTGTTTCATATTTATGAATGCTGTCTTAAACATTGCATATCACTTTTAGCCACTTGAATATATATATTCAAACGTAAAAATTATGTAATGTAATCACTCGGGACAGGTTACTGCCGGAGGTTAGACTCACTTCGTGAGTCAATTTCAAGTAACGAGGACTATAGTTTGTGATAATACATTATAAAAGTACTGAGTCGCTTAAGTGATAGCTTATTACAAGTTGTTTAATTTATGAAAATTATGATATTTATAATAATATTTGCGTAGATACATAATCCTCTCATTTTTAAAATAAGAACATTGAAACAGATAATGGAATTCATCACGCGAGCTACGTCTTTCATTACATGTTTAATCCACCTCAATACTTCTATGGATAAAGATTGATTTGCAGAACGGAATTTAACAAAAAGGACAGGCAACACAGGTACTCTGAAGCAGATATTGTTCATAACCAAATATGGGTTTTATCCATCTATGATAACTACTATTTGATAACATCATGGAACTTGACCACATCTGACAACACTGGCCCCTTAGCCTTCGATCAACATTATTTAATGACCATTCCTTTGAAATTACATCTTGACTTTTCCAAACAAAACATAAACCACAACTATCCAGAATATTCTTAACATATCAGAGCCATTGAGATCAATAAACTTTATCAACATACTTCTTATATGAGATGTTATGCCTAAATTATTAGTGAAGGCTTATTCTCATTTCGTGGTAAGATGAAGTTACATCAATAGCCTAACATCCTTTTTTAACCAGAATATCTATAGGCATACGTCTGTAGTGCATGTCGCGACGTTGAACTCCATTTCGCCTCACCTCGCCTCACCCCAATCGAGATTGGATTTAGTTTTCTAGGATATAACATTGTTAAGTAATCAACCGTAATGGTATATTGCGATGACCTTAACGTTCATGGCTGTTTAAGAAGAGAATATTTATTTCTCAAACGTTTCGTTTTTCAAATTAATTGAGTTTACTTGACAATAAATTGCATCGGTTGTAAAAATAGAGACTGATTAAGTCTACTTATTGTGTACCCGTGCATATAATACCCGACACAATCTGATACAGTCGCGCAGATAATGTCTAATCTTGTACATTTTTTTACATATTCCAAGTGTCAGAATTAACAATGCATGTAAAAAAGATACATAGATAATGACGTCCTTTACCTCGTCAATTTACCCACTGTGAGACAGACAGCTGATCGGTGTCACCTAGCTAAATGACGATATACTTTGTATGTAGATTGACATTGTATGTATTTTACCCCTACGTGGGTCTGGCATTAATCTTGTATTGTTAGGAAAAGCCTATTGTATGACTGACAGGGAGCACTGTTACATTGGCATTACGTTAACAGTTTTATACCCACGTGGCTGTTTTGTTGTTAACCGACACCGGGGACATGATTAGTGACATTATTTTGACTTATATTGGTTCCCCACGAACACGTGCGAGCCATCAACGTTCTCGTGTTACAAATAACATGGACGGAACCAGGTGCGGAACTAATCAAATCGTCCCTCTTTAAAAACTTGAACTGGATGTATTTTGTTACATTTTGAAACGAAAAAAACCCAATCATTGTTGAATTAGCACTGAAATAAAGATCACCATATTTGAGATAATGTAATACCTGATTCTCGGTTTGCAAGTGTGCCGAGTACCCAATATTTGCCGTAAAAGCCCATAAAAGTGTGTATCGGATGGTTCGAATGTGTGGCCTGGATGATTGTGTATTATCGTGCATTGATCATCGATCGTTGCTAGTGAACCTAGTCATCAACCTGGCCCAGACTCTGCGTGTGTTGATTAGGGTGAGAAAGGTGTGTGTTGATTAGGTTGAGATAGGCGTATGTTGACTGGGATGAGATAGGCGTGTGTTGACTGGGGTGGGATAGGTGTGTGTTGACTGGGGTGAGATAACGTGTGTTGACTGGGGTGAGATAGGCGTGTGTTGACTGGGGTGAGATAGGCGTGTGTTGACTGGGGTGGGATAGGTGTGTGTTGACTGGGGTGAGATAGGCGTGTGTTGACTGGGGTGAGATAGGCGTGTGTTGACTGGGGTGAGATAGGTGTGTGTTGACTGGGGTGAATTAGGTGTGTGTTGATTGGGATGAGATAGGCGTGTGTTGACTGGGGTGGGATAGGTGTGTGTTGACTGGGGTGAGATACGTGTGTGTTGACTGGGCCGAGATAGGTGTGTGTTGACTGGGGTGAATTAGGTGTGTGTTGATTAGGGTGAGATAGGTGTGTGTTGACTGGGGTACGTGAGATAGGTGTGTGTTGACTGGGGTGAGATAGGTGTGTGTTGATTGGGGTGAGATAGGTGTGTGTTCACTGGGGTGAGATATGTGTGTGTTGACTGGGATGAGATAGGTGTGTGTTGACTGGGGTGAGATATGTGTGTGTTGTTTGGGGTGAGATAGGTGTGTGTTGATTGGGGTGAGATAGGTGTGTGTTGATTGGGGTGAGATAGGTGTGTGTTGACTGGGATGAGATAGGTGTGTTTTGATTGGGGTGGGATAGGTGTGTGTTGACTGGGGTGAGATAGGTGTGTGATGATTGGGGTGAGATAGGTGTGTGATGATTGGGGTGAGATAGGTGTGTGTTGACTGGGATGAGATAGCTGTGTGTTGACTGGGGTGAGATAGGTGTGTGTTGACTGGGGTGAGATAGGTGTATGTTGACTGGGGTGAGATAGGTGTGTGTTGACTGGGGTGAGATAGGTGTGTGTTGATTGGGGTGAGATAGGTGTGTGTTGATTGGGGTGAGATAGGTGTGTGTTGATTGGGGTGAGATAGGTGTGTGTTGATTGGGGTGAGATAGGTGTGTGTTGATTGGGGTGAGATAGGTGTGTGTTGATTGGGGTGAGATAGGTGTGTGTTTATTTTCGGGTGAAATAGGTGTGTATTGACTGGGGTGAGATAGGTGTGTGTTGATTGGGATGAGATAGGTGAGTGTTGATTGGGGTGAGATAGGTGTGTGTTGACAGTGGGTGAGGTAGGTGTGTGTTGACAGTGGGTGAGGTAGGTGTGTGTTGACTGGGGTGAGATAGGTGTGTGTTGATTGGGGTGAGATAGGTGTGTGTTGATTGAGGTGAGATAGGTGTGTGTTGACATTGGGTTAGGTAGGTGTGTGTTGACTGGGGTGAGATAGGTGTGTGTTGACAGTGGGTGAGGTAGGTGTGTGTTGATTGGGGTGAGATAGGTGTGTGTTGACTGGGGTGAGATAGGTGTGTGTTGATTGGGATGAGATAGGTGTGTGTTGACTGGGGTGAGATAGGTGTGTGTTGACAGTGGGTGAGGTAGGTGTGTGTTGACTGGGGTGGGATAGGTGTGTGTTGACAGTGGGTGAGGTAGGTGTGTGTTGATTGGGGTGAGATAGGTGTGTGTTGACTGGGGTGAGATAGGTGTGTGTTGATTGGGGTGAAATAGGTGTATGTTGACTGGGGTGAGATAGGTGTGTGTTGACTGGGGTGAGATAGGTGTGTGTTGACAGTGGGTGAGGTAGGTGTGTGTGTTGACTGGGAATGAGATAGGAGTGTGTTGACAAGAGATGAGAAAGGTGTGTGTTGAGTGGGAATTAGATAGGAGTGTGTTAACTGGGAGTGAGATATGTGTGTGCTTACTGGGAGTGAGAAAGGTGGGTATTGAGAAGGGATGAGATAGGTGTGTGTTGGGTTCTCAGAGGCGTCATAAGACCCGTTGCTCTGTGGTTATTTGGCAGGGGTTGCAGAATTCGTGGCCAAGGTGAGGCTTTTACAAAGTTTCATGGTAGACATGCGGGGACATTTCCTAGTTTGGTGTGTCGGTGTCCCGGGTGGTGTCCGGTGCGGTTCCATGTTTTTAATTTTTTACTTTTCAGATTTCTTATGATTATGGAAAGGGTTTAGTTGTTTGTTTATTGACAGTGGTGAGAAGGATACGGATCATAGATGCGTTGACTTGGGAGTGGATAGTTAACCATGTGAGTATGTTGACAGTAGTGAGAAGGATACGGATCATAGATGTGTGTTGACTTGGGAGTGGATAGTTAACCATATGTGTGTGTTAACAGTGGTGAGAAGGATACGGATCATAGATGTGCGTTGTCTTGGGAGTGGATAGTTAACCATATGAGTGTGTTGACAGTAGTGAGAAGGGTACGGATCATAGATGTGTGTTGTCTTGGGAGTGGATGGTTAAGCATATGAGTGTGTTGACAGTAGTGAGAAGGATACGGATCATAGAGGTGTGTTGTCTTGGGAGTGGATAGTTAACCATATGAATGTGTTGCCAGTGGTGAGAAGGATATGGATCATGGATGTGTGTTGACTTGGGAGTGGGTAGTTAACCCTATGTGTGTGTGTTGTCACTAGTGAGAAGGATATGGATCATAGATGTGTATTGACTTGGGAGTTGATAGTTAACCCTATGTGTGTGTTGACAGTAGTGAGAAGGATACGGATCATAGATGTGTATTGACTTGGGAGTGGATAGTTAACCCTATGTGTGTGTTGACTGTGG